CCCCCCCCTCTCAGGTGCTAGGGGAGGGCGCGCGCCCGGCCGCCCCCCCCCTAGTTGCGCCTCTGATTGTATGTCAAATGGTACTGGATGCAACCCCCCCCCCAGAAAAATAGCGGGGGAGAAACACCCCCCCTCCTTCGACTCTTCGATTCAAGTACCCTTTCATTTATAGAGTCTTATTTCCTATTCACAACGCTACGCTTGCTACCTGTGTTAGATCAAGCAAGAATGAGTTATCCTGTGTTTCCAGCTGAAAATTGATTATTTTTAATTGTGATTTCTGTTTTAAAGTGACTTGCGGATTTAGGCTGCAGTGAAAATGAAGGATGTTGTCAGAGTTCAATACTTTTTTAATAGGAAAACAACTTTATCTTTATCATCATTCAGCAAGAGGTTTAACGAGTACTGTTGTGAAGCGGACATGCCACTCTATTAATGGATGGTTTGTGAAAATACTTCTGGAGTCCCTTCTAAAAATGTCAGATAATCTAGTTATATTTATTATAAAGGAAACAGTATATAGCTGAGATAGTGTGCCATGAGATTGCACACATGTGGTTCGGAAACCTTGTATCAATAGAGTGGTGGGATCAACTCTGGTTGAAGGAAGGATTTGCAACCTGGATAAGGTAGTGTGTAACGTTTTGGTTCGTTTTGAAAACTTTCAAGATTTCAAAACTGTATTCCGTAAAAATTTTCTTTTATTAAATTCTGCAATATTTTTTATTTTTAAAGTGGAAAACCTTTCGTTATTTCACTGGTGTTGGCATTTTCTGTCAGAGTCATTTGGCTCAGTGTTAAGAATAATCAATTTTTAAACATTCGCACTATGCCAAAGACGTTAATGTTTTTATTAAATGAATTAATATGCATTGCTTATACAATATACATGTCCTTTATTACAGTTTCCTGGCTGTTGATCATATGTTTCCTGAGTTCGATATTTGGTCAGATTTTCTGGTTAGCTACAGGAATAATGCTCTACACTTGGATTCTTTAGAGAATAGTCATCCTATTCAGGTTCCTGTTATACATCCAGCACAGGTTGTTATATATGTTTATCATCCTATTCAAGTTCCTGTTATACATCCAGCACAGGTTGTTATATATGTTTATCATCCTATTCAAGTTCCTGTTATACATCCAGCACAGGTTGTTATATATGTTTATCATCCTATTCAAGTTCCTGTTATACATCCAGTACAGGTTGTTATATATGTTTATCATCCTATTCAAGTTTAATCCTTTGCCAAGAGAAAAAGGAACAGAGAACTTGTTGCCTTTTGCTAGACAAGTACGTCCATCTTAACAAAAGTAAATTAGTGGGTAACAGATTTAATTAATAGCGGGATGTTGTGGAATCACTTTTCTTGTACCCTAGTTTAAGTTGAACCGCTTAGTCCACATGGTTCAACTATTTCTCACTATTCATTAAAGGGACTGTTAAGGTAAACTGAGAGGGGGTATACATATATAGACTAAAACCTAAACTTTTAAGGAGTTAATAGTGAACAATATATCTATCTGATGTCCCTGTCTCGAGAAAGTAATCTAACACTGTTTTAAAGTAAATAAAAAACTCACATATACGTAATATTGCCAACGGAGCCACGTGACCAGATACTGAACGGCCATTGGGGTTAATGCTGGTTTTGTGATACATACAGAGTCACGTGACCAGAAACTGCACTGCCATTGGTGACGTAAAAAAGTATATATTATATCTAAGTATAATACGAGCTTACCTAAATTTTTCAGACACCTCTGGTTTATTCTAATTTTCAGATATGTTTAAACTTTGAATCATGTACAATATTACGTATATATGAGTTTGTATATAGCTTAAAACGGTTTTATATCAATTGAAATCTTTGAAATAGTTTTATATCGATCAATGGCCGGGACATACCGTAGAGCTAATATTGATCTCGTTTAACTATTGTTAGGCTTCAACCTATTTTACCTTTTTAAATCTAGTCCCAGGACAAATTAAAAAATGTCTATTTTCCTGAATCTAGATTGATGAAGTTTTTGATGCTATCTCCTACGACAAGGGTGCTTCTATCATTAACATGCTTTATCACTGGATCGGAGAAAAGTCTTTCAGAGCAGGAATGAACAGGTGCATATCTCTAAGGGAGTGATCGCGAACAAATTAATGGGGATTTTATTAGGCTTAATTCAAATACAATTCGGAATCCTTTGCTTCTAATTTTTCTGTTGGGTCTTTAAGGAGAAAATGGATTATAATATTCATTATTTATATGATGCGAGTGTAACTTTTGAGAATATACATTCCGGAAATTTTTAGGATTAAGTGTAAAGTGTCCAAGTGTCAAAATATTAACCAAAATATCGAGAGAGAAAAAATGTACAACCCTCCTAATTTATTGAATAGTCAATTTAATTTCTTGATTTAAAAAATAGCGAAAAACGGGTTAGAAAGTTTAGAAGATTTGTTTCTGGTGGAAGATATTAGCAAACATTACAATTTTCTTGTTTGTCTAGATATTTGGTGGAACACAAGGGTTCAAGTGTTCAGACTCAAGATCTTTGGAAATCTTTAAATTTTGGATTAGAAGATGGTATGACAGGTGTTGATGAAGTAATGGATCTATGGACTACATGGCAAGGATTTCCTAAAATTAAGGTCAGTTTTCTTATTTGATTTAAAAACTAAATGTGAGTATTTATAGAAAAAGTGATGTTAGCATTCTATTTTTATCTCTGCTTAAAGATGCTAAATTTTTTTAATACCTGCTAAAAAATTGCAAAAAAAAACATTATCATTGTACGATATCCATTGAATTAAGATTTATTATTTTGTTTACCGGAAAACATTAGTTTACCAATGAAAGATCTCAATTTTTATTTTTCCTTTATATTTTAAGAATTGCCCGTGGTGGCAGAGGCGGAATTCATGAATATGCCACTAGATGGAATGATTTTGATAAATTTTAAGAACGTAGTTAAAAATTGGACACCAATAGGCAAGTTTTGTCATCCTTACTGATACTTTCCCCTCCCACCCCCCAAAAAAAATATTTATTTACCATTTAAAATAATCTATTTTCAAGTACTCCGAAAAGAAAATATACAACCCTCACCTAAATCTGTAAAAATACTACTAAAATATTTTAGGTAACTCTGGTAGAAGATAAAATAGTTCTGGAGCAGATGAATCCTGGTTGCAGAAAATGGAAGCTTCCACTCAGAGTGTCTCTAGACTCCGGGATACAGACAATACTGTTACAACAAGATCCAATATCCCTTACACCAGGTTGGAATTACCCCCCCCCCCCGGCCCAAAATTCATTTATTTTCCCCTAAAAATCCATTAATGTTCCCTAATGTAGCGAAAATAACCTTTAAATAAAATAACTTGTGGATGGAAAAATGTATTTTCAATGGGGGGGGGGGGGATTTTTTGAGAAAATACATTCCAATTGAAAAATTAATCAAAAATTGTTTTTAGAAATATTTTTTTTAACCTTATTACAGAGTCACATGTTCATCTCACAATACTTTTCCGACTAAAATTAAATTTTGTAATTTTATTTGCGGGTCTCTATAAAAGTGAATTTATTGATTTATAAAGCTTAATATAAAGGAATACAAATCTGAGAATTTATATATTTTCAAGACTGCAAAACAACGATATCTTCCTCATTGTGAATTTGATAAAGGGCTAAAGGGTGACGTGTTGAATCGGGCATGTCATGTCATGCTTTATTTTTAGGCTCCCTTGAACATTACGATGAACAGTCCCTTTCAGGAAAGCCGATTAAATTGATAATTTTCATTGGAAAAATAATTAGTTTTTAGTTTAAATAGGTTTTATTATTATTATTATTATTAAACTTTTGATTTAACCGAAAACCATATTTTCCTTTTTCAATTAGCGTATATTTTTAATGATATTAAGTTTAACTTTCGCATTGAATTAATTTTCATTTTAGATGTTCGGGACCGAGTTGGACTTCTCTCAGATACATTGAGTTTCTTTGTAATCGGAGAAGAAACGGTAAGCAGGATTTTACAACAAAGATTCAACATTATCCCAGCTCCTTAGGGTTGATTGATTGATTGCTTAGGTGGAGACTGTTCTGAAACTGGTTGAACTGTATAGTGGAGAAACTGATTGGGCTGTAGTGGATACAGTTGTAGAGACTTTCAGGAACATAAACATTAATTATGCTAGTTCGACGACATTGTATTTCAAATATTGCCTGTTATTTCCTTGGAAGACGACCTATTTGCCTAAACGACTTGGTTTGGGGCTTAGCTAAAGCTTTATATTACCTACAAAGGCAATTGTGACATTTTTATTCGTAAACATTTCAAAATATTGGGATTGTGAGGAGAGAAATCAGTTTAAAAACTGAGATCTTTCAAAATGTATATTGTGCCCGGTATCATTTGTAGGGGAACAGTTTCACAATGTTAACTGTATTATGATTAGGAAACTAGAAGGACTAGTGGAACACACCAAGGCTTGGACTGGTTTTCTCAAGCTTGTATACAGGTAGGGGCTTCAGCTTAATAAGACTCATATTTTTATTTTATTCGTCTTAACATATGATTACACAATACACAAGTGTAAAGCATGTACATTTAGTTGTATGACAGAAGTAAAACTATCCCTTTTTAGAAGAAGTGACTTGCTAGACATGGTAGTTGATCTGAAAGTGCAGTATTGTTGAGAAGATGTTTAGGATTTGATACCAATGAGATATTTTTATCATGTACAATTTTTTAATTAGACCTTAAAGTCGTTTGTAATATTTCACCATTTGTTTTAACAAAAGAAACGTTTTTTACAATTATATAATAACCCGGAAAAGACATGTAAAAAAAAAAATTTATTCATGAAATTTTTTTATTTAAAAAAATGATCGATGAAAGCCAAATTAAAGCCGAAGAATCGATTATTTCATTAACATCATTACCTTTGCTGTTTCTATAATTTTATTCGCAGATTTCTTTAAAATATATTCAGAGTTCTGGAGTCTAGTTTAGAGAGGCTAGGATGGGAACTAAACTATATATATTCAGAGTTTTTGAGTCTAGTTTAAAGAGGCTAGGATGGGAACTAAACTATATTTATTTAGAGTTCTTGAGTCAAGTTTAGAGAGGCTAGGATGGGAACTGAACTATATATATATTCAGAGTTCTGGAGTCTAGTTTAGAGAGGCTAGGATGGGATAGTAAGGAAGGAGAAGGAAATATGGTTTCCTCAAGATCTGCAATCATAAATATTCTAGGTAAATATTTCTGTTAAAAAACAATATTAAACTTATTATTTTCCTATAATTATTTGATAACATTAGGTTCAAGATTTGGCAATGTTAAGCAGCATTGACAATATTTGTTTGCGTAGATTTAACAAATTGTATAATGGAAAATATTTTGATTTGAAGTGTAAACTGTAAAGCTGCAATGTGCCACCTAACTCGAGATCTCAATTATTAGTGCATCCCCAATTAGATCATCAATGCTTCATCACCAACTGGCCCAAAAAAGTTGGTCACCCTAAGTTTGTGCTTTTTCGCAGCAGAGAAACATCTCAAACTTTTCCAGAGCTGGGAACTTTTGTGTTGGATGCCCATAATCCCGATCCACAGATCTCGATATCCATACTTCAGAATATCATGCTTGATCTCTTGATTTTGGATAAGATGGATATCCGCGATATCTCTGTTCTCTCATTGGTTTAGAACAAAATTCCCCGCCTTCTTTTTGGCTGTTCTTTCTAATCAGACAACACTCCTTTTGGGATATTGAATAAAGATTTAATAAATATGTGAATTAACAGAAAATGGATATCAAGCCTTGATCTCTATTTTCTATATCCCAGCAGTAAGCCTCCTACCGGGGTGGTGGAAATACTATTCTTGGATACGTTAGGTCGGAGAGGAGCGCCGACCCCAACCTCATCGAGTGAAGGGTTGTCTTTCAATAATAATAATAATAACAATACAAGAGTTCCTAGCAGAGGCGTACAGTCGNACTGCTTACAGAAACAATGAGGGTAACATCTATGGATTTCAGGTTTTTTTTAGGCCCACACGGTTTTTGAGATCCCCCTGGAATGAAAAAAAATTGGCCCCCCCTGAACAAATTCCTGACAACGCCCCTGGTTCCTACTTCACCTAACATGAGATATACAGAGTTTAGTTTGTGATCTTTTAGGTCGGTTTGGTTCAGCAAATGTTGGAGGAGAGGTGAGTCTTCTCTTTAGAAGAGAAGAGAGAGGGAACGGAGATGTTTCTAAAGATATCAGGTTAGACTTATACTTGTACTTATATTTTTACTGATTTTTAAAAGCTTTTTTCAAAACTTTTGTTTTTCTGAAAAAAATGGATGGATTGTGGGTAGTTTGCTATTGTTCTTGCTTTTTTCTAATCATTGTTATTGTTTGATTAGGAAAAGTGTGTACTGTACTGTAGCTCGTACAGGAGGAAAAAGAGAGTTTGATTATTTCATGAAAAAGTTCCGTCAAGCGGAGAGATCAGAGGAGAAAACATTGTACTTATCAGTACTTTCATCCTTTACAAATACTAGTCTGATCCAGGAGGTTCTAGGTAGGGATAGATAATTGGATTATTTTACAGTATTTAATGTTCTTAATAGTTTATTCGATTTTGAAATTATTTTTATCACTTTTAGAATGGAGTTTATCAGAAGAGGTGAAGCTTCAAGATAGAGTTTTCCTCATCATTAGTGTAGCAGACGCAGGCCCTGATAGCAGACTAGCAGCTTGGAGATTCTTCAAGGTAAGCATATTAGCAGACATAGTTTCTTATAGCAGCTTTGGATATATTATGGTAGATAGTATAGCAGACACAGGTCCTAATAGCAGATTAGCAGCTTGGGAAAAAGTCCCAGTTGGGACAGTTTCTATTCTAAATAAAGGAACGGACATGTATAAGTGAAGTTATAATGTATTGCATGCTGCATAATTATATTTTATAGTAATAGTAAGAATAATATTAAACAATCAATTTGACTTTATCTAGGATAAGATAAGTATACTGAGGACCCAGTATACTAGTGGAGGTATGCTTACACGACTAGTGAGGGGTGTTATGAAGAACTTTAACAGCAAAGAAGACCTTCATGAAATAAAAGCTTTTTTCAAGGTAAACATAATATGTATAGTAGTAATCCGTCAACGGGACGATAAAGTTACTTCTAAGGTCGACAAAACTAGAACATATTTAATTAAAACATTTGTACCCTGATGCCAGGCTTCATTTATGATTTAGTATAATCATTTTGAATCTAAAGTATGGAAAAGGACATTCTTAAAAGTTTGATTTGATTTGATTTGATTTGATTTGATTTGGTTTGGTTTGATTTGGTTTGATTTGGTTTGGTTTGGTTTGGTTTGGTTTTCCCTATTGTAAGGAATTTTTTAGAGGTTTGAATTGTTTATGTTAACTTTTATGGAGAAAATAAATAGAGTCCCATTCTGCTTTTTTACTTCAAAAAACATCAAAAATTATACTTGTTTCTTTTGATTCATAGCCAAAGTCTTCACGAGTAAATTTTAGTTGGAATTTTATCATATCTTAAATTTTATTGTAGATAAATGATTTGCCCGGAGCAAAAAGAACGATTGATCAAACCATAGAAGATGTTGAGAATTTTATCAATCTCCGGGACAAAAACAAGGTATTAATGTTTTTCGGAGGAATAAATTGGAGTTTTTATAATTGGGAACTTTTAAATATCGGGATTAGGGCTTGATCCACTCTTTTTCTTAATCTCCAGATTAAATAATGCTTGTTCTCCTCTTGTTATTAATCTCCAGAGTCCGAATTTAATGAATTTAAGCCGCGTTTCAAATCCCAAAACCGGTTTCAATTAAGTGCCGGCTTGAATCTTGAAACATTGAATACTTTTTAAGTGGAACCAGCGATATTTGATCCGCGGCTTAAATTCTTTAAATTCGGCCTCAGATTAATTAACAGATCAGAGCTGGGAACTTTAGAATGGATAACCTTTAACCCCAACTAATTAATCCGAATATCCGCTGTGGAAACTTTTTATTTTAGTCCGTAATCCAATTTTTTTTTTTTGGATATCCGAACATAATTTTAACTGAAGTATTAAGCGAACATTTTCAAAAATTGCGGAGTATTGTATTATATTTTTCCTCTTTTTATTCATTCATTTGTGTAGGAGAGCATCCTCAGGTATTGGAGTGGTCTAGGGGAAGCTGAATCATAGTCAGACACAGGTTTATAGCAAAAATATAAATACTTGAAAGGGACGTCGGTGTAATTTCAAGTAACCCTCCATTAAAGAGACAGCATGTCCAATTCTTAACTCTACACTTTAAGTTGTCTGTGGGAAATATTATTGTTTTTCTAAATAAAATTATTTGTTTTTTATTTTGAATTCTTTTTTATAGTAAATGTTGGATTTTTTTTAGTCAAAATGTAATTAACGGAAGTTAGAGAATTTATATCTTCAAGAATGTAGAAAGACCGAATTTTTTTTAGTTGAATAAGGGGAATTGGTAGCTATTTAAGTCGGGTATCATTTTTAAATGACGTCAACAGTTCCTTTAAGGGAATTTTGAGTAAATTAGAAATTGGTCTAATAAAATGACTCAATTTCACCTATTTACAAAAAAAATGCTAGCCTAGCCCGTGAGAGCTTAGGAGCAGTCAGTGTATAGCTGGTTTGGGCTTTAACTGTTTTTGTTTAGGAAGAATGAGACTTCCTAGAATCAAGAACACATCAGATATTAAACAAGGCTGTAATCTTCTACGGGTACCTCAAGCCCCCTGCTTGAAGCACCCCAACGTCTTTCCCTTTCGTTTATCATACAATTATTTGAATACTGACATAAATGTTATTTTTTCCCTGTTGTTAAAAAAAGTCAAAATTATTTTCAGAGAAATGTTTTAAAAATGGTTTGTGGAACTATGGAGGTTGTAGTTCCGACCGCTAGGTGGGATTCACTCTACGATACACGACCAGAAAAGGTTGGTTCTGTAACATTACATAAATCTAAGTAACAACTCGTTTAAAAAGGATCATGACCGATTCACTGCAGTACTCTTTAACTCTTAATTTAGTTAATATTGTGGGATATGTTGCAGTTTTTCTTTATTGCTTCTGTAGCAAGAAATCCGCTAGTCACTTTTGCAGAGAATGTGAAACGTACATGCATCTCTAAAAAAAGAAGGGATCACATGAATGTACGTTTCCGATAAAACTTGATTCAGAGATCAAAAATTTACTAGTAAGAATATTTTATCTATGGTAACATGTTCAAGGTAGAGATAGCAGTTGCTTGTTTAATGAACAGTATAATTGGTAACAAGTTCTAGGTAGACGTAGCAGTTACTTGTTTAATAAACAGTATCATTGGTAACATGTTCCAGGTAGAGGTAGCAGTTATTTGTTTGAAGAGCAGTACCGTTGGTAACAAGTTCTTGGTTGAGGTAGCAGTTACTTGTTTAATACACGGTAGCATTGGTAACACGTTCTAGGTAGAGGTAGCAGTTACTTGTTTAATAAACGGTATCATTGGAAACATGTTTTGGTAGAGGTAGCAGTTACTTGTTTAATGAACAGTATCATTGGTAACAAGTTTTAGGTAAAGGTAGCAGTTACTTGTTTAATTAACAGTATCATTGGTAACATGTTCTAGGTAGAGGTAGCAGTTACTTGTTTAATTAACAGTATCATTGGTAACATGCTCTAGGTGGAGGTAGCAGTTACTTGTTTAAAGAATAGTATCATTGGTAACCTGAAGCAGAAGGAACTGATAATAGAACAGGAAAATAAACCTTTTTTAAACTTCTCATTTAAAAGCTCTCATGATAATTTGCAATTTAACGATTAGAATTTATAAATTTAGCATTTTTTCATTTGAGTATTTTTATTAATAGAAGCACGTTGTCCGGTTCCCCATTTATTTATTATTATTAAGTTTTTTTATCATATTTTTTTATTAATATTTCATTCATCCTTGTTAACTAAAAAAAGAATAAAATCTATTGTTTTCAAACAAAGAATATTTTTTGAAAATCTATTTTTATCAACTTGTTGAAAAGGTTTGTAATAAAGGGACTGTTGGCTAGACTGATCAGTCTTCTAGTGGATCATGATGTTCATCCGAGGTTATTTTTTCCCAATAATGTTTAGTAGAGTATTGTTAATCTTGAACGCTTGATCTCGATATTTTAAGTGGGTAGTGTTGTGCGTTTGACATAAAAAAGCAAATTTTAAAATAAAAAATGTTGAGAACATTTGCTCTTCTAGACATTTTGCCAAATTTTGACCAGGAAAGAAAAAGAAAGTAAAGGCCAAAAAACGACCCCAAAACGATGCAAAAACTAACGTGTTGTTACAATTAAAATTTTTTTTTTAAAGATTAAAGTTTTATTATAGTAAACCTTGATAAAAAAATGGATAGTTTAAAATTTTAGGATAAATGCATAAATCATTCAATTTAGTTATCTCTGCAGGGTATGACCACCAGGGGATATTGATCAAGGAATTTAATTAATCCTTAGGTCTGTTTAACATGGAGATTAGTCCCGTGATTTACAATTCAAAAGTTCAAAATGAGTATAACAAAAAAATGGAAAATATTTTTGGAAAGTTTGAAACTTTTTAATATTTGGGTCTAAAACTCAATTAAAATATGGCTGCCAATAAGGAGCCTTCTACAGTACTAAGGAACTAAGAAAAAATGCCTTTCTGACTAATTTTTTAATTTTAGGATCAAAACAAGTGTTGTTCATATTATCAGTTCTATTTCCAAGGAATGGTTTAAATAAATTTCTTTTAAAAAGAATTGACAAAAAAGGATCGTCAGCTTTTTCATCACGAAGCAGCTGTTTGTTATTCAGTTTCTTAACTGTAATTTCAACTTTAATTCAAAAGAATTCATAAAAACACTAGTTAGCACTCACTTATTTTCTCCCAATTTAGCGAAGAAAACATTTGATAAATATAAGTTAACCTAAAAAACGTAAATAAACTCAGAGAAACCAATTTTTTTCAAAAGGGGGAATGATTTCTTGGGAAAATATACACCCCTGTGCCCTTCTCTCTCCAATCTTCCGTTTTTCTTTTATTTATTTATTAAGATATTCTTTTTTATTATTTCAGGATTTTTATACTTCAATAGCTTTAATTTGAATCCTGCCTTGTACAAAATACCCGCCTACTCTGCTCAGCCCTATTGTACAAAATACCCGCCTACTCGGCTCAGCCCTATTGTACAAAGTACCCGCCTACTCTGCTCAGCCCTATTCAAAATACCCGCCTACTCTGCTCAGCCCTATTCAAAATACCCGCCTACTCGGCTCAGCCCTATTGTACAAAAGACCAACCGCCATTTTTATTTTATCTTTCTTTATAAAATTTTATTGCTCAAATGTGCTCTTTTTGTCTTTAATTTAATAGATGTGCATGAAATGTTTTTATTTTCTTTTGAAAAATCAAATCTGAACTTTATCTTCTTGAATTTTAATGGAAAAAAATTGGAGTTAATCCAAATAAAAAGTATGAAATTTATTTTACCTGTAGGGATCGGATACAACAAGACGTTCTTTACTAGATTCAGGCGTTGTTAAAATTCTTCTAAATGGGCTCAACTTTTCAGATCTAAAGGAATTAAGAACAATGAAACACGAAAATATATGTTTTTTTTCTTTTTGTCACTTGTCAAATGTCGATTTTTGGCCACATAATAATAAATAGTAATGTTAGAAATTTTTTGTTGATAAATTTGTTGATTAATTATTAGTTGACGGAAGCCTGCTTACAGAGCCTAGTCTCCATATTTAATATGAAAAATCCACCTGTAGAGGTATTTTTTAGTCTTAATATTTTTATAACTCTCCATTTTTAGGTCCTTCTTCTACTTTGGTAAATATTTGATCAACCATTTTCAGTTCATTTTGAATTTTCTTGTCAATAATTAAAATTTTAATTAAACAAATCATTTAATTTCTGATACCATTCAATCTTCTTTGTCCTTTTCAAATTTTGGTTTTTTAGTTTTTGCAAAACCAATCAGTCTTCATTCCATGATCTACATCCGTATTATTACTTTAGATCATGTAGATCATGCAGATCATGTTGATCATGTTGATCATGTCGATCATGTCGATCATGTAGATCATGTAGATCATGTAGATAATCTAGATTAAGACATTTCACATTTGAAAGGAACATTTATTTGCAGGTGATATATTCCGATCCCATCGTAGTTTCTCAAATATTAAGGAAACAATCTTGCCATTGACAAATATAATTTAGTGTTTAAATTAAGATAAAAATGCGTTCACAAACAATGATTTTTAATTAAAGTCAAAGTGGTCATTATTGTGTAACCAGTTTAATGCCGCAATCAACTAATTGTGGAATTGCGGCCTGTCGTCTTCTATCTGCTGGTACTATGAGTACAGAGCAGCAGAATATACTGGTGAGCGGTGGAGCTCCTAATATATTGTGTAGTCTGCTTAGCAGCCCGGTCACAGAGGCGCAGCTCAGTGCGCTTCATTGTCTTGCTAAGATTGTATACCAGGAAAATTGACAGTAAACTAACATAATATAAAATTTTATATTTTTTTGTAAAACTTTCTTATTGCCCCTCTTTTACAGGGGGAAAAGTGGATAATTTGACGTTTTCCATTTGTTTTAATTATATGAATTATCGTGCACAAGTTAAAATATACTGATCTGTTCCAATTTTTTACCTTTCATACTAAAACTTAAGGCCTAAACCCGGACTTTTACACTAACTGCCAACTAATATCTATAATTAAAAAAATATTATTTGTTACGAACTGGGTGGAAACTTATGTCTATTATAAAGCTGCAAGTTTCGATGATTTTACTAAAAACTTGCGCACTGCAAGCAATGTTAAAGCCAATTAAAACACCCAGCAGTCAGCGCCAGAATTTACTGAAAATGTGCACTAGAACGAGAATGCCGCGCAGAAGTATTTGATTACCAGTGATCATGGTAAACAGCTTCTGAGTCTAGTTGTACAGTACACAAGGCGGGAGTACATAGAGGAGATACAACTTGAATCCAGCAGAATACTCACATATATGTACAGGTAGACATTCTTATTAAAAATAAGAGTCTATCTGAGGGTTTCCAAATTTTCGTCCAATCTCTCTCGCGAAATTTTCGTTCAGTCAACGAAATTTTAACGAAAATCGAAAATGTTCTCACATAAATGTAGTATGTACGCAACAGGTAGACTAGACTAGACTTTCTTCTTAAAGGGGCAGACCGGCTATGTAAGGTAGTTAAACTGAGTATGCAGTGTTGTGGACAAATTCTTTAGGATTCATTTAAGACATGTAAAACTTTTTAAACATCTGTAAATTCTGAGTTTGAGCCCAAAGTTGACGTTCAAAATGGTACTTTTGGGTGGGTACGTTTTCAGTTTTTTTTTAATTATTAAATAACGACGACATAAAATGTGAACAAAATTTTACAGTAAACTAATTAGTTGTTGAGAAACAGTTTAAGAAAATAAAAATTAACTCATATCATTAAAAATAAGTGATATCTTATTCTATTATTAGTTTCTATAATCTCTCTTTAATCACAAAGATTTTCTGCAGATTTTCTGGAATTTTTATAAAAAAAGACGATCTTTGAAGAATTTGAAGAAATCTGCGAACAAATTCATAGAAAATAGGAAATTCAACATAATGATAAAAAAGGAAATAATTAATTCTAACTTCAATTTATTGACAAAATTCTTTTGATAAATATGTTACTAAACAGTAAACATCTAATTAGTTTACTGCATAATTTTTACTATTTTTTTCGTCGCCCTTATTTAATAAGTTTAAAAAACCCGATTCTGAAAACGTACCCATCCAAATTCATGACTTTGAATGTCGACTTTGCGCTCAAACTCAGTAATTATACATCGTGGAAACGTTTTATATGTCTCAAATGAAGTCTTAAAGAATTTGTCCACAACAATGAATACTCAGTTCAACTACCTTACATATAAAATATTAATTAAACAACGTGGTTCAGTGAATACTCAAAGGGACAGTAAACTCAATTTAAAAGTGGCCTTTCATTTATGGAATAGCAGAACCGATTTACATGTGATTTTTTTAATTGGCATTTTTCTATAAAAGTTACTTGGGGACTACTGCTTACAGAAACAATGAGGGTTTATTTTCATAATGAAACAATTTTGAAGATAGAAAGACTACGATAATTATTTGATCGAATTAATTCAAATAATTATATATAAATTACGAAAAAAAAATAAAGAATAAACTGTCGATAAAAGATTCATTACCTTCCCCTATACATAATGAATCACTGCCTTACGCAGAAATTAACTGTTTACTAACTGATGTTTGTTTACATAAAATCTACCATCTATGTTACTGTTTTTACGCAGAAACTAGGTTCTCAGCAGTCCAAAAACGCCAAAGATAAATATACGCAAATCCTATCCCCCACGTTGTATTCTATACAACCTTGATTAGTATGAAACTAGTAACTATGGGCGTTTAACTCCCCTTTTTCAATGTTATTAGTGGATATTCTGAAACTATAATATTGTACAGGAGTAAAGTGCTGGAGAAGGAGGATGTGGTGGTGTACAGGGTTCTACCCTGCCTTGTCAGGCTCTGCAAGAAGGAGGAGAAGGTTGAGAACAGGATAGTTGCAGCAGAAACCCTGGCCTACCTTATTCAGGTTAGTTACATGGTACTCCATCTTCACGCCAAGGGAAAGCTGATGAATTATAAGTCGTTAATGGTTGTTAATAGGTGGACTGGTTAACCTATAAACCTTCTCGGTTATTCATTTTGTTACCCTTCTAATAGTTGATCTTAAAATTCAGAGAAGTTGAAATTAAAAAAGAATAAAGTAACTTGTCTTATAAAGGTTAGTAATAACAAAATTCTCCCCTTTAGACAATAATCCACAGAGCTGTTAATATTTTACTCAATTATCCCAAGGGACAGGACGATAATGTTTGTTTATTAATACGCAACACCTTCTCGGTTCTTGATCTCATTACTCTTTAAGCATTTTATCTCAAAATTCAGAACTAAATTCAAGGCAGAAGACTTGATTAAAAGATTTTCTGGTCATCTCTCATACTTTGTGAGTAATTCTGTATGTATATTACTATCCTGTCTTGGGTTATCACAATGTATGTGAAAATTGTCAGTTTAGACCAATAATTGGTTTCCTTCTATACAATATACATTACGTAATACACTTCCGTTTATATACTCTAAACATCTATTTACTCATATATCTTTCTGTTCATCTAAATATCTATCTATCTATTCATCTGATGTATCTATCTATTCATTTAATATATCTATGTATAATATATCTATCTATTTATCTAAATATCTATATATCTAATAATCTAAATATCTATCAATGCATTCATCTAATATATCTATATATTCATCTAATTTTCTATCTATGTATTCATTAAATATATCTATGTATTCATTTAATATATCTATCAATTCGTCTTAATATCTAAATATCTATTCATCTAAATATATATTTATTCATTTAACATATCTATATATTCATCTAAATAGCTATCTTTCTATTCATCTAATAGATATATCTAACATGTTTATAAATTAATGAATGAATTGATTTGATTTGATTTGAAATGGTTAAAGTTTCATGTCTATTCGATAGTAATTACTGTAAAAGTTTTTGGTGTAAAATTATGATATTGATATTATTATTATTATTAAAAATCAACCTACAGGTTTAATGGAATGAAAGGGGGGGGGGGCAGTTTGCAGTCACTGTAAGGGATGGAGAAATATTTGTTAAAAAGATAAAGCCTAGTTTTATTATTACTTTTTGATTCGCTAATTGTCGGTATTAAGTGTTCCTAGAATTTTTTTATTTTATTTTTCGGACGAAAAGACAAATTCCAAATTTGTTCGATTCTGTATGTATGCGTAATTTCAAGTTACCCTTAATTTATAGCGTGGCATGTCTGATTCACAACGGTACCCTTAAAAGTTAAAAGCATGAATCAGATATCCATGTTTATATATAGTTTTAAAAACTGATTATTTCTAAATGTTGTTTCTCTCTGCTGCAGGTAAATAATTAAGGAATTTTTAAGGGTTTACGGGTACTTTTGGGAATCAGTCAACCCCCTCTTTAAATGGGGGAAGGGGTCACTTAAAATTGATTAAATGACATCTAATTTGGTCCAATATTTCATCTTATTATCCCGATTTACAATGTTTAATGCATTGCTTAGGATTAGAGGTTTTGGAATAAAGAGTAGGGATGTACAATGCATTATTAATGAATGAATAGAGGATTTGATTACGAATACTATTTCGAAATCTATCCTTTTATGGATCGAATTTTCCGCGCTTAACACTTATATATTCGTGCGCATCATTTCTTCCCGCTGAGCGCGTAGACAAGCGCACAGCTAGTGTAGATACAACTGTCAGGCCTTGCGCGTAAATTCAACTTGTTTTGCGTATTTTAAGATCAAAATTGCAAATAAACCTTTGAAATGGTTGAAAAGCGTTCTATAAGGAAGATTTGTGTACAAATCCTAATTTAAACCTGGAAATACACGGGCCAGTGAACACAGTGAGCACCGTGCACCTGTTCTACGATACTGGTTTATTATACATTAACAGTTCTTCTTCCTCTACACTGTACAGTGAACAGTGTACACTGTACACTATTCACTATACACTGTACACTGTACACAGATATAAGAAAAAGTGGCATTCTTGTGAAATGAGCAGCATCGCAAACCCTATCAAACCAAAAGATGTGTAATTTTATCTAATATGCACAATCGTGGTTATGCATTGCAATAAATGCAAATAAATACAGACATAGAAAACTATAAAGAAATAGGGCTTAAAGGGACTGTCGTGGAACTGTTTAGTGATCCTCCGATTCACAACATTAACTTTGATACCTTGAACTTCTCAATATTGTTGGAGATGAAAACTGTTCAATTCTGACAATTTCTTTATTGTTTCTGCATGTGTAATCATTGTTTAAGTCACTTATGTAGAGAAACTAATAAACTCACTTAACAGGAATATCTAATTCATACTTGATCGGGAAAAGGTTTTAAGGGTACCGTTGTAAATTGGACCCACTTCTCGATCATTGGAGGGTCACTCTAAATTGCGTACACAGCCCCTTTATTACTGCAAGTCAAGTTATTATTCTTAAGGAGCATGAAACACAGACTTCTGTGAATCAAGGTATTATCCGAAATAAACATGAAACACAGACTTCTTTAAGTCAAGCTATTATTCGAAATTAACATGAAACACAGACTTCTGTAAGTCAAGCTATTATTCGAAATTAACATGAAACACAGACTTCTGTAAATCAAGCTATTATTAGAAATAAACATGAACACAGACTTCTGTAAGTCAAGCTATTATTCGAAATAAACACGAAACACAGACTTCTGTAAGTCAAGCTATTGTTCGAAATAAACATGAACACAGACTTCTTTAAGTCAAGCTATTATTCGGAATAAAGACGAAACACAGACTTCTTTAATTCAAGCTATTATTCGGAATAAAGACGAAACACAGACTTCTTTAAGTCAAGCTATTATTCGAAATAAACATGAATCAGACTTCTGTAAGTCAAGTTTTTTTTCGAAATTAACATGAAACTCAGAGTTCTGTAAGTCAAGCTATTATTCGAAATAAACATGAAACACAGAGTTCTGTAAGTCAAGCTATTATTCGAAATTAACATGAAACTCAGAGTTCTGTAAGTCAAGCTATTATTCGAAATAAACATGAACACAGACTTTTGTAAGTAAAGCTATCATTCGAAATAAAGACGAAACACTGACTTCTGTAAGTCAAGCTATTATTCGAAATAAACATAAAACACAGCGATTGTGTAGTTTGCACGGCGTACACATTTCACAAAATAAGTTTATTTTGAATTTTTTGGTAAAACATCAAATACGCATACGCATTCCAATTTATAGTAAAATATTCGAAAGTTAGAAATATATAAACTCTTGAACATTCCACCAACACTTTATGGGAGTGTTAGCAAAAAAATCCGGGGAAACGCGGATTCGATCGCTACTGATTTTACTTTTCGAACACTCCCTCAAAAATAAATATTTTCAGGTTAATGTTGAACTTCAACAGATTGCTGCAATCTCAAACCATCTGATCCCAACTGTTGCAAGTTTCCTAAAATGGGCTCCAGAACCCAAACAGGTAGGTTTATATACAGGGATCATTGAATAAGATATCCAATGGATATTATCCATTGTTTTTCTTCCTTCAAGGGACCCCACAATTGAAAATAATAAATGCATGAAGAGTTCACAGCAGGATACAAAAATATAAAAAATACAAACATACAAAACATTATTTTGGAATTCCAACTCATTCAGTTATTTCAGAGATCTGGAGGTATGACCAAACTGCAGTTAACTCAGCTAAATCAGAAAATCGAAGAGGACGCGAATAATTTGAAAAATCTACGCAAAGCTGCGTTCAATGTAAGTTGGCAATATTCCCTTGTTTCGCTGCGTCTGCAGTTTATACGGTCGGCCATTATATCAATACAACGAAGACGACTTTTCTATTTAAGTTTTGATTTCTAGCAATCTTTTTCCAAATAACAATTTTCTTGTTAGTTTGTTTTTGTTTTTGTTTTTGTTTTTACGTTTGGAAGTTTCATACCTTGTATTTTATTTGTTTGAAAGTTTGGAAGTTTTATTTCTAACATTTTACTTGTTTGAAAGTTTCGACTTTTCGTATCTTGTATTTAGTTGTTTTTAAGTTTCGAGTTTCATCTCTTGTATTTTAGTTGTTTGGAAGTTTGGAAGTTTCATCTCTTGTATTTTAGTTGTTTTCAAGTTACGAAGTTTCATCTTTTGTATTTTAGTTGGTTGAAAGTTTCGAAGTTTCATCTTTTGTATTTTAGTTGTTTGGAAGTTTCGAAGTTTCATCGCTTGTATTTTAATTGTTTGGAAGTTTGGAAGTTTCATCTCTTGTATTTTAGTTGTTTGGAAGTTTGTCTGCTGATGATGAAGATATTAGGAAAAGATTAATAGATACGGAACCTTTAGTTGATACTGTAGTAGGAGCTCTACAGGATAATGATGAAGGTAATCCAGGAGTTCTTATTTATGTGCAGTGCTTAGGTTCCGGATCCGTTGGATCCGTAAAATTTTGGCTTCATTCATCCGGATCCGCAAAAATATTCGGATCCAAGGGGCAAAATATCAACCAAAAGTTGCACAAAAAAATTTGTTCTCAACCCAAATCTGAAATGTAAAATAGGAGATTTCCTTAACTCTAAATGGTTCATTAATGGGACCGTGTTTGAAAAATGAAAGGGGGAATAGGATGAAACCTGAGAATCTCAGGCGTTTATTTTGCATTTTTAATAGATATAATTAATAATATAATTACATATAGTCCGTGAAGTCCGTATTACGTCACCAGAACTTCAGCCAATGCCAGTGCAGACGGAAATCCCGTGACCAGTATACAATACTTTACTTGGGCTCTACTTCAATAATCTGCCAAATAAATGGCAAATTTGCCAAAATTTAAATATGTATTGCGAAATCTAGTAACTGAAAATGTGCAAATCCCCTTTAAAGGCGCCTGCAAAAATGTAATATGCAGATTTCTTTGCAAAAATTGAGCAATCTGCCTGCTTTTGTTTTAGGCTTTCCAAGAATCCAATGATTGGAAGTAGGTCTAAATATAGATTTAATCTGAGCTGTTTGACAATCCATGGCCATTTGATTTAATTTGTTATTAAAGTTAGTCTTACTGAAACTGCTTCTTGTTCTTCATGTTACTTGCTAATCTTTAAGATAAAAACTCAACCATTGTCCGAATTTTATGAATTTAAGCCGCGTCTCAAATCCCTCAAAAACCAGTTTCAATTGAGCGCCGGCTTGAATCTTGAAAAATTGAATAAAATTTTAAGTGGAACAAGTAATATTTATTAAATTAATTTTTAATCCAATCAAAGGCTAATGGGTACCGTTGTGAATCGCCCATGGAAAGCTTTTTAAAGTTGAGTCTTTCGTGAAATTTTTCTCGAGTGTCTTTAATAAAACCATTATTACTAGATTGGAAGGAAGTAAAGATGGCGGCCATACGTTGCCTTCATTCTCTTTCAAGATCAGTTCAGCTTCTCAGAACTACTTTCCAGGTAAACTTCAAACCAGAGTTAGGACAAGGTGGGACCTANGGGATCTTAAAGCATTAAAGGGACTGTAAGCATAATTTCGTGTGACTCCATGCAAAGATTGCAATGCTCGATTCACAACGGTACTTTTGAAAGCTTTATCTGATCAATAATGTAAAAGATATGTTGCTTTTTAGTTTTTTTTCTGCAGTAGAAATACTCAATTAACTTTTGTAGAGCACCCATAGTTGAAAATAATCTGTTTTCTAAGTTGATTTATAATTCTTAATTGATCAGACAAAGCTTTTATGGGTACTGTTGTCAGTCGGGCATCGTCATCTTTCCATGTAGGATCACTTGAAATTACGCTTACAGTCCCTTTAAAGTAGAGAATAGCAGCGTGTTCTTGCTTTGTTTTGAAACAGTTAAGGTTTTTTGACTTTCCAAGAATCTGAGATATTTTATTTCATTTCAAAATAGTGTCCTGAAAAGTTTTGCTTTTGTTAAACTATGCAAGATTAATGATTTGTCAAAATAATTCATCCAATGTTAAGATTTATCTTATTTGATATGGATCCGGATCCTGGATCCACTGATTTTTAACAAGAAGAATTCAAAAATGGTTTTTCTTCTTATTTCGCTTATTTTTATGCTAAAACTCGATGAACCATTCAGAAAAAAAACTTTTAAAAATCTCTTTTTTCAAAAGTTCAGATTTAGGTTTTGAAAATTAAAAGTTTTTTTCACAGTTTTTATTTTGCCAGAAACAAAGAAATAATCAACTATCATTCCTAGAAGTCAGGACTGAGCCTTCTCTTGAAATATAATTGTTATTTCAATCATTAAACTACTACTTGGTTTCGACACATGTCTAACGTCTAGTGTGACAACAAAATATAAAGAATCGCAATTATTTTAAAAAGTTAAAAATTCAGGATTTTTAGTTTATACTTCGTTAACAAAATTTAAAAAAAAATGGACCGTGTAAGGTGTAAATCAACTCTGATATGGTTAATAGGTTGAGAGTGTTCTTGTTGCTTCCTCTACACTCTGTAATCTACTCTTGGACTTTTCACCAAGCAAAGAGAAACTTCTTGATTCAGGTAGATAATGGGATTGTTATTAGTGGATATTGGTGGATAATGGGAGTTCCAAGAACTTTAATCCGATCTGATTAATGTGAGTCGAAGAATGAGTTTTTTTTTTCAATATTTTTATTGATTGAGATAATTTGAACTATTTGGAATCTCCGAATCACTGGGGAACCCCTAAATTTCTGGATAAAATTGCAAGTCCAAGCATTTCTAAAATTAATTTAGGATGGGATTTTTCAGAAGAGAATTTTTTTTCTATAATCTACTCTCAGTTCAAATTAAGAACCTTTTGGAAGAAGGAAAGCTGTGTTCTTTTTTTCTACTTTATTATAAATCACTTTTTGGCTTCAAGGTTGTTTCTTTGGTTTTATGGACCACTGTATGAATGAATTTGACTGTCTAGGTGCTGTAGAGCTTCTATGTGAGCTGACCCATCAGCAGGATCCTAGTCTGCGCTTGAACGGAGTCTGGGGACTAATGAACCTCTCATTCAATTCAGAGCAAAGGATCAAATCTCATATTATGACAACATTGGGGACAGATNGGGGGGGGGTGGGGGGTCTTATAATTCAAAATTTAAAATATTTATATTCAGAGCTTGAATTGATATTTTGTGAAGTGGAATGAGTCAGTTATAATCAGAATTTTATTAATTTGAATTTTCTATTTGTTTCTTTTCTTTTCTGTTCTACGAATTTTTCAAAAGATCAATTTTTTCATTGACCAGCGAACAAAAAGAGCTCAGTGTAAAGGGAATTTCTATAGTTTAGGGAACGGTTTGATAACATTAAGACTATTTGTGTTATTAGATCATTTTTTTTCATATTAAGAAGATTATATGTACTTGTATGTGTCTTGTGGAACATTGTTTTTTAACAAAATATTCAGGTTCTTCTGCGTATTTTTTTCGGTTCAGCCGTTTCCAAGGTTTTTTAGCTTAAAGATTGACTTTATATAAATTTTCTTAGTAGTTTCAAGTGACCAGTCAAATAAAGATGTTCACGTCAAATTCACAAAGATACTCTTTAAACCTTATTTAATCCATAATGTAGAAGATAGTTTCGTTGTCTAGCTTGAAGAGTGTTTAATGTTTAATTCTCACAATTTCCTTCGTTGTGTTAAGGCAAGAAATCTACAAGTTACTTTTAAAGAGAATTGCAAATGAAAATAACGAATTCTAGATCAGCCAATACGTTTAAGGGACCATTGTGAATCGGAAATGCCATTCTAATTAATGGGATCGCTAAATATTACGTCTGTAACAGTTCTTTTATGAATCATATTCCCCAGGTGTTCCGTCTGTTGTCAGATCCTGGAATCCAGGTGGTGATGAAGACCTTGGGCCTGCTGAGGAACCTGCTCAGCAACGACAAGCAGCATATTGATCATATTTCCAGTTTATATGGGAAACAGCTGATGCACGCAGTCGTCTTCATTCTAGAGTCGGAGAATTCACCAGAAGTACGCAGTAAATTATTTGTTTAAGTTCTTTTTTTACCTCTAAAGGGCTTTTTGATTTGAATAACTTCAGGAAAACAACGAGCACCCTAGGTGATTTTCATGTTTAAGTTGTGAACTCAACTTAAACTCTTAATCTTTGGAATAACTTGAGAAACCCAACTACAGTCAGAACCAGAAAACTCGGGACTAGGAAGACGACTTTTAGACTTCTGTAATTGTGCATTGTAAACATGATTTAATAACTTACTTGTTCAAATATTTGGTTTATATCAACATAGAATACATTTAAGTTTTGCTATAATGCCGTCTTCCTTTTTCCACAGTGTTGCTGGTTCTCACTGTAGCAGATTATATCTTCTTAATTTTCAAATTTTTTTAAGATGGCCATGAAATAACTAAGAAGTATAATATTTTTTATTTCCACCTACAAGAAACCCCATGAAATCTTGAATTCAAGACTTAGGTCATGAAGAATATAAATAAACGTTTGTTTTAGGTAAAAGAACAAGCCCTCTGCTTGCTGGCAAATATTGCAGACGGAGACACGTCTAAGAAGTTAATTGTTGATAACGAGGATATGTTGAAGAAACTTAAGTCCTATATGCTCCATAATAATACTAATCTCCAGGTAGTGATTATTTCGCTCCATAAAAATACTAATCTACAGGTTGGGTTTATTTTGCTCCATAACAAAATTAATCTCTAGGTAGGGTTTAATTCTCCATAGCAAAACTAATATCATGGTAGGGTTTATATGCTCCATAATAATTCTAATCTCCAGGTAGGGTTTGTATTCTCCTAGATAATACTAATCTCCAGGTAGGGTTCATATACTCCTAGATAATACTAATCTCTAGGTAGGGTTATAAACTCCTAGATAATGCTAATCTCTAGGTAGGGTTTATATGCTTCATAATGATACAAATCTCCAGGTAGGGTTTATATGCTCCATAACAATACTAATCTCCGGATAGGGGTTACATGCTCCATAACAATACTAATCTCAAGGTAGGGTTTATATGCTCCATAATAATACTAATCTCCGGGTAGGGTTTATATGCTCAATAACAATACTAGTCTCCAGGCAGGGTTTATATGCTCCATAATAATACTAATCTCAAGGTAGAGTTTATATACTCCATAATAATACTAATCTCCAGGTAGGGTTTATATGCTTTAATTATCAAGGATCTCTGATTTTGTTTAGAGATTTCTCAGAATATATGAATTAAATCTATCTTCATCAACTTTTCATATTTTCTGAAAATATTCTTGAAAAGAATAATTTTGCATTATAAAGCTATTTTTTAAAGTTTCTTAATGCATAATATAACATTACAAATTACCAAATTCAAACTTCTATCTAAAACAATTACCCGAAATACAAAAAAAGCATTGTTTTTTTTCTTGTGTTGTTTGTTTTCAGAATAAATTATATTATAAAAATCAGATATATATTCACCATTTATATTTGTCTAAAGCAAAATTACATTAAACAATATAAAAGTTTACAATATAATACTAATACTCTTTTCTCTGGATATTGCATTTTATGATTGACAGGGTTTGCCAAAAAACAGGTGCAATACAAGACTTTTTGCATGAGTATAGTTTAGTTTTTTAGTTATTAGGTGGTTCTCAGAAATGGAGTTTCTTGGTCCCAGTCTAGTGTTTTTCGTTTTCTAAGAATGTGGTATGACAACAGCACTGTAAGGCTAGATTTTCACACTGGGTTTGCAGTACTTATGCAGTTTCTTTAGATTTGCTTTATTTGATGGTGAGATATATCCTCTTGAGCTGATTTCAAAAGGGTGAACAGAGACATCCCTAATTGTTATATCCGTGATAAAATGTTCATACTTGTTCATCTTTTGAGTGTTGGCATTTTTGATATTTGTTTCTAATGGGACAGTAAGCTCAAAAATATCTATCTTTTCCTCCATTCCATCGATAATTACTAGATCTGGTTTCTCTGCGGTCACATGGAGGTGGGGGGAACAGTCCCCCTCCCTGGAAGGGTATGGGACGGGATGTCGGTATACATCTTTACCAGTGCTTATGATCCATTTAATTTTGATGCGGATCCGCCGGATCCGGATCCGGATCCTGGATCCGCTTTCCCAAAAAATGGATCCGGATTCGGATCCGGATCCAGGTCATTGATCAAAACAAAATTTTATTTTAGTTCAAATATCTTTTCATACATAAAAAAATGTTAAACATTTTAACATTTTTTGCAAGATAGAAACCTGAGATCCTGAGAATATTTTTAAAATCTGTTAAACAATTCAAAATAAGATATTTTTAAGGAAAAATAACGCTGTTTTGCACATTTTGAAAAATAAAATTGTGCTTGGATCCGGATCCGTGGAGCCAAAATAATGCGGATCCAGCGGATCCGGATCCGGATCCAAAGCACTGATCTTTACCAAATTCAAACTTCTATCTTAAAAAATTACCCGAAATCCAAAAGAAGCATTGTTTTTTTCAGAATAAATTTTATGATAAAAATCAAATAGTTTCTGGGGTTCTGAGTTTCAAGAGACTCCATAATAGATGTTTTTCAAATATTCTTTTATTTCGACGAGCAAACAAAGGCTTTAAGGGTACCGTTATAAATCGGCCATTCCCTTCTTTGCATGGAGGGTCACTTAAATTTATGCTTACAGTCCCTTTAAAACAATTTTTTAATTTGTTAGACTGCTGCTGTAGTGTGTATTCAGAACCTAGTCTGGAGAGAAGAGGATGGAAGCTGTGAACGTCAGGCCAAGCTTAAAGATATTGGGTAAGACATCTTTTCAATATACTGAACTAAATGAGAATTATGTTCAGTATGTTCAATATACTGAACTAAATGAGATTTATGTTCAGTGTGTTCAATATACTGAACTCAATGAGAATTATGTTCGGTATGTTTTAGCTCAATGAGAAATATGTTCAGTGTGTTCAATATACTGAACAAAATGAGATTTATGTTGAGTGTCTTCAATATACTGAACTAAATGAGATTTATTTTCAGTGTGTTCAATATACTGTACCAAATGATAGTTATGTTCAGTGTTTTTAATATGCTGAACTCAATGAGAATTATGTTCAGTGTGTTCAATATACTGAACTAAATGAGATTTATGTTCAGTGTGTTCAATATACTGAACTAAATGAGAATTATGTTCGGTGTGTTCAATATACTGAACCAAATGAAAGTTATGTTCATTGTTTTCAATATACTGAACTCAATGAGAATTATGTTCGGTGTGTTCAATATACTGAACCAATTGAGAATTATGTTCAGTGTTTTCAATATACTGAACCAAAAGTTAGTTATGTTTAGTGTTCAATATACTGAACTGAATGTGAACTATGATCAGTGTTTTCAATATTTTGAACCAAAAGTTAATTATGTTTAGTGTTCAATATACTGAACTAAATGTGAACTATGTGTGTTCAATATACTGAACCAAAAGTTAATTATGTTTAGTGATCAAAATACTGAACTAAATGTGAACTTTGTTAAGTGTGTACAATATACTGAACTAAAAGTTAATTATGTTAAGTGTGTACAATATACTGAACTAAAAGTTAATTATGTTTAGTGTGTTCAATATATTGAAACAACTGCTTGCAACTGAGGATACTGATCTATTTGAGAAGGTTAAAACAGCTCTCCAACAAGCATCAATGTGACAGGTAGAGCAAACAAAAATAAAAAATCTAATTTTTTAAACCAACCCTTCAATATGTCGACATATCATCCTGTCTTGGGCCTGAGGGAAGACTTAAAAGGGTTGTAGATTAAATTAAATTAAACCAATTAAAGTTGAACTTCATATTAAACGTGGCATTTCCCATCCACAACGTTACAGTTTACACCTATCATATCTGAGCACCAATCTAAAAAAGTGATAAAATCTGTTATTTTTATCTATTGTTTACACGGCATAATTTCTCAAATCACTTTTATTCAAAAATGCCACTCTTTTTAGAAGAATGGGTACTTTTACAAGCTCTTGTATCAACTATTTTTTCAGGGGGTTGAATCTTCTCTCGGGGACCTCAGTGAAAATAAAGGAATTTGCTTTGTTTTAAATATCACTTAATATTGTATTAAATTATTCTGGTTTTTCATCCGTTGTTTTAAATTCAATTCATCAATCTTTACTAAACTGTCTTTTAAAATCGCGAACATACCCTTTAAAGTGGCTACTTTTGTCATTTGTTTTGTTGGATAATGGATATCCGACAAAAGTTAGGATTCCTAGGCTTTGTTTTCTACTCGGGCAACAGTTCTTTTCACACCGAAACTTGCTCCAGCCTATCTGGATTTTAAAGACAAAAGTTTTGCCTTCAGATATAACTTAATTTTTATTTTGGTTTTTGAAACAAATTGCGGATTTAGATCGATATTTAGAGGATTTTCAGCTTCTCAGCCTCCAGACTTCAGAACCTTTATGGCAAGTGAACCTCGGCCCTGTAGACCAACCTCAAGGAGTTCAGCCTCAGCAAGATCATAGTCCTGAGGATGTTCTTGATCCTGAGAACCTGTCTGATCCCGAGGAGGATGTCCCTGGTCCTCTGCTGAGAAATGTTCTTGAAGAGGATGAAGAGGAGGAGGAGGATGACTGGAGTCCTATTCTGCCAAGGAGGGACGGGATGCAGAAATATCTTTAACTTAGAGTTAAAATTTAAATCAAATAAAAATCATTATTTTGCTGGGTGTCCTTGAAACAATATGATTTATCATAAATTAAGGTTAAGTAGCTCACGGGGCTAATTTTATTTTATTTAAATACATTCCCCCTATTTTTGACCAATTTTTGAAGGCAGTTAATTTTTGTTTTTTTTGTTATTCAAATGCGCAACTGTTATTCTATGTTCTTCCCCTTATATGGTTAGAATTTTTTATTTTGAAATACCTGTTATTTTTATATTGGCTATTTATCTTCTAAACAAGTATACATATATTTAAAATAAGCTTTTCTTGAGCTTTGTTTTAAAATGTAACCTCAAAATTTGTCAGATTTCTTCAGCTTAACATTTTCTTAATCGCATGTATTCAAACTTCAATTGAAATTTTAAATCTACTAAATATTGTTTTAAATATTGAGTATTTGCCTTTAAAAGAATAGTTTTTCCTTAGTTCGGTACCTATTTGGAAACAACCTGGTTATAACTGATCATTATTTATATTGTTATATAAATATTGGGGATAAATCGAGATTTAATCATCTTAAACTTAAATTTCCATTCTCATCCATCATATTTTTCTGGATATTATTATAAGGTTTTTGCAAATGCATGTATTTTTCCGTTATTCATGCACACTGCACATATATATATATTATTTAAATGTATTTATTTTTTTCAGAAAATGATACTAAATAAAGCATGATGTCGAAAAGGAATTTGACCCAAGTCTGAAGGTACTTTTTCTATAAGTTATTTTTCAGAAATCATGAAAATTGTCTTTTTTAGTTACATTATCAAATTTTTTTCTTTTTTGTCAGATTCTTTTTAGAAAATAAACCAATTTAACTTATTTTTTTGCAACTGATCATTGATCAATGATTATCTTAAAAATGTTAAATCCACCATTTTTTTAAAAATTAAAATTCCGCCATGTTTTTTTTCAAGATGGCGGGCGAGCTGGTCAAGTACACGAGTACGGCTACTGTACCAGTTACTGAGGATGAGGCAGCGGCTGCAACCGCGGCGGTCCGGGAGATGCTCGGGCCAGGACAGGTAGATCTATTTTTGCATTAAGTGCAATTTATCCCAGCTTACTATGGTAATTTGGTAAATAAAGAAGGAGAAATGATTCTCATTCAATAAATCATTTTTTTCAAAGATAATACTGCAGTGATGATAGGTCAGAAAGGTTAACTTAAGGGTTTTTTTTATAGTTCGCTAAAAACCGAACAAAAATTGCTTAAATAGCTAAAAATGAGCCGTTATGATAATAACTTTTTTTTATATTCTACCGTTAAATTTAAGCGAAAATGACAATGTTTGAAAGGGATATGAACTAGATATAAAAAATAAGCTAAATTAAACAGTTAAAAAATAAAAATTTTTAAATAACAGAAAAACAGCTTTTTCTAGAAAAGTAATTGAAAAGCGTAGAATTAAAATTACTACAAATTTTAGTTTTTAATGCATAGTTCAAACTTATGTAAGATATCATTAATATCTAGCTTCAATGATTAGTTTTAATCTCAAAATTAAAAGTATATCGAGAAAAAAGAAAGTTTAAAAATTAGTTTTTGAAAACTTAAAATCAAATATTCAAAATCTGAATACGGATCCAACTAAAATGGATCCTATTCCTTAACACTGAAACGTGTGTAGAAGGTTGTGAGTGTGGAGAAGAACGTGTGTATCCGGGAGGAAGAGGTTCTTCTCGTCAATGGTACACCCATCACTTTGGAGGGGGAGGAGGGGAAGGCGATCAAGGTTAGTCTTATAGTCACTCTTTTGCAGCGATACATAAAAAAAGCATTTATGGACTGATGGAGGGGAAAGGTTTCAGGAAGGGAGCAAAATTTATCTTAAAACTTTAGCAAAAACATTTGATGTGTACAATAAATAAAAAAAAATCTATCTGTTTCTAAAATTGCCTCTTAAATTAAGTTCTGTGTAACTCTACCCCAACCAGTGGCGGCGTATGGGAAGCTGGTGAAAGANCCCCGTTTTATTAAAAATTTATTCGAATATAATTAGATTTTCTTGCTTTTTTCAGGAAGAATTCGAAATCAGTTACATAAAAATAATCAAAATGCCTTTAAAATTCCAGGGTTGTAAAATTGTTCATAGTTTAGCTGTACATTATAGCACAACATTATAGCACGTGTGCTATAAAGTTTTTTTTGGTTCCCGGATTGTCTCAAAAAAAAATTTAAGATATTTCCAAAATATATTTTTCAACTGAAATGAAAATAAAATTGAAATCAACTTTATTTACTCCTGCTTTGAAATATGACAGTACACAAACGTTTCATAAAATTACCTATAACACTATTATTTTGGTACGACGTGATATAAAGTTTTTGGATTTAAATTTTCTCTATATCTCGAAGGTTCTCGCCTTCTTAGATTATAATTTGTCCCTCGCTAAAGCTCTGAACAAATTTAAATTTAAAAAGGCTTGAATCTTCTCGATAAAGAGAACATTTATGTCTAAAAACTTTATAACACTACGAACCAAAATAACAGTGTTTTAAATAGTTAATCTATCACATTATCACATAATTTTCAAATTAAAAACATTGAAAAAATCTTTAGAATTACGTCCACGAAGTTAAAGTACATCTTTATCCAAAAAATACAATTTTACAGAATTTGATGATTTAAAAATTCTGTTTTTATTGTTTTCTTGTCTTATAGTCCATTTTGATTTTTTATTGATCTTGATTTATACGTCAATTGTGATGTCACTTTCTAATTAAAGATGTTTTAAGTAATAGGACGTCTATAAAAGTTTGATTTAATTTGAAATGTTTATTGGAATTACGTCTGTGAAACCAAAGTTTGATTCAGAATATCTGTTCTCTGCAGTGTTCAGTAATGGTGGGTATAATTTAATATTGGCTAATTTTTATTGTTGGGATAATTAAACCTTTCATTTAAAAATTGGCATTGAAAAAAGTTAATTTTAGGAATTTAGGAATTGTCATTGAGAAATTATTCCATTAAAAAGTTACCAGGTTCAAACCCTCCAAATATTAGGACTCACAAGAACAACCCATACTGGACATTGGAAAGCAAATCATCATAGTTCTGATTTTATTTTATTATGTTGTAGGATTGTTTGCTGACAGGGATAATACCTAATCAGGATCTTATTAACCATCTACTCTTGAAGGTAAATTATTGTATTTTGCTAAAAAATGCATGATAGATATTACAATTAAACATTAAACAATCACAACTTGTAAAGCTGTCTTGACCCGTCTGGCGAGCTTAGGATGTTAAAAATTTGATTTAATATAGGATGGTATCAGTCCAGTTTCTGCGCGACAAAAAATTTTCTGAAAATCATGCTTACACTTGGCTTGCCATTTTCAGAATACCTGTTCTTACATGCTTAGATTCGGAATTCTGGAGAATTTGCCATTTTTTCTGTCAGAAAGTCAACAGAGCTGAAAACTTTAGAATGGAATATCCTTAATCCCGATCGGTTAATTAATCCGGGAGATTAATAACAAGAGGAGAACAAGCATTATTCAATCTGGAGATTAAGAAAAAGAGGAGATCTCGATATCCACCATACTAAAGTTTTTTAGCTCAGGTTATTCCTCTGTGATGTGTGGTTATATATTCTTTTTCTAGGCTGGTCTTCTTCAGAAACCTGTCAAAGTGAAAACAGAGCTAAGCGTTAAAACCTCCAACACTCAAGCAGAGAACGTCTTTCTGCATAAAAACGGGAAAATCCTGGACGAAAATTGCAGCGAAAAAACGGAAATTAACGAATATTCGTCGCGAACGGAGGAGGAATGGTTGCCGATATCGACGGACGAGCCGACGGAGACCGGTAAATTGTTGCGGGACCGGCTGAAGTCGGCAGACTCAGATTGTGTTCATGATCGGCTGGAGAATCTGTGTCGCCAGAGGGCAGCAACTTCACAGGTAGGTTTTTATTGATATAGAGTAGAGGTCAAGATAAAAGAACTTCTGTATCAGGTGCGCAACTTGACATTCAGCCAAGGTGTGGGGGGGAGCACAACTATTTCGCGCGTAACGCGAAAAAATTACTGAGGATATTTTTTCATATTTTTTCGCATTTTCGATAAACTTGTCTATTTCTTTAACTATATGGACCTTAGTTAAGAAATTCTTGCCCCCTCCCCTTACAGGGGGCAAGCTTTCTTAAGGGGGTGCATGCCTGGCCCCCATTCCCCCCCCCCCTAGTTTCTGTCTATATATAGTTGACTTTGTTATTAAAAAGACGACATTTACAATAGTATCCCTGCACATATAATATACTACTTTTGAAGCACATACCAATTTTAAAATCACCAAGTTTCGATATTTAAAAGGTAAACTATTACTTATGAGTACTTAAATATTTTTAAGTTTTTGACGCATAAAATATATGCTCAGTTGTTGTATATTAAAGCAGTGCTTTGGATCCATTTAATTTTGATGCGGATCCCGATCCAGATCATTTCTTTAAGATTTACTGAATTTTTTTCACAAAAATAATTTTTAAATTTTTTGTTTTATTTTTTTCACTTATTTTTATCCTAAAACTAGATGAACCATTGAGAAATGAGGAAATTTTTATAATCTCAGGGTGGCCAAAATGTACGGATTGTACGGATTGATTTTTTTTAAACCCTAAAATTGTACGGATTGTACGGATTTGTTTTCAAATTGTACGGATTGTACGGATTTTTATCCTGGAAAATACACCGTTTTTTTAAATTTTCACTCATTGTCGTCTTTTAAATCCACATCATTTGTGGATATGGATATTGTTCTTCATTTTCTGATGTTCCTTATTATTTTAAGTGATGGATCCCGTGTTCCTGGTTTATGCTGGAAGGATGGAATTGTTGTTTCTGGAACGTTAGAGGATCTTATACATAATCTTGTTCCAAGGTAGGATCCCCATCTTCCTCCCCCTCCCCCCCCATCCCATAATGGGTCCGGGGGTGACAGTTCTTATCATTAAGTTCTTCTAAATAATAATATATGCTATGACAATATAAAAATAGAAAAAAATATGAAATGTTTTCAATTGACTTATTTGGACATGCAAGCCACCCTTATTTACATTTTACAATATGATAAAATATTTCATACATAAATTATACTTTTTAAATAATAATTTACACATGAAATAAATATGCTGAGGTCGAATTTAAAGAATTTGAGCCGCGGCTTAAATTTAATCCATGGCTCAAAAATGGTTGGTTTCACTTTAAGTTGTATTTAATTTTTTTAAGATTTAAGCCGGCGCTCCATGGAAACCGGTTTTCAAGGGATTTAACAGAGTTTCTTTTGATTAATTAATGTTGTTGAAACCGGAGACACTCCTAAAGTTAAATAATTGTCACCAAAATAAAACTCTTATTAATTCAATTCGATTAACGTCATGTTTTTAATTACAATGAATACCTTTCACGATGTTTGATACATTCATTTTTAAAGGGAATAAATTCGCAATTTCTATTGACCAGGTCCATTGCAGCAAGTTCAATTAACAACAGTATCCTAAATCTTCTCTGAGATGGAATTCAAAGAATTTGAGCCGCGGTTTAAATCCGCCAAAACCCGGTTTAAATTAAATTAAATCTTGAAACATTTGATACAGTTTTAAGTGAAACCAACCATATTTAAACCGCGGCTTAAATTTAAACCGCCGCTCAAATTCTTTAAATTCGGCCACTGGTCAAAGATAAATAAAATATCATAATTTATCGTGATAAAAATTTATTTGTTTCAATAAAGGTTTTTTTTGTAAAAAAAACTTGCTGCAGGAACAAGGAAGGAAATTGACAGAATTCAACTACAGTTCCTAAAAAGACAGGGGGAATTTTCCAATTGTCTAGATTTAGTACATTCAACTTGTGTCCATTTTTGTTTTATAACAATTTTCAGTGTCTCATCTATCATCCCTGATAATTTTATTTGATTTCATTTGATCGAATTTGATTCTGATTTGAATTGATTTCATTTAGGCTGATTGAATTTCATTTGATTTGATTTTTTTGCAGAGCTCACGCGACTCCTCCTGACTCATTTTCCTTCTCCTTCCTTCTCTCCTCAAGACTTTTCCTCACTCCTTCTCAGCTCTTAGGAGAGGTTTGCAGGTAAATCAGTTTCCTCACTTCTTTTAAGCTCTTTGGAGAGGTTTGCAGGTAAATCAATTTCCTCACTTCTTCTTAGCTCTTTGGAGAGGTTTGCAGGTAACTCAGTTTCCTCACTTCTTCTTAGCTCTTAGGAGAGTTTTGCAGGTAAATCAGTTTCCTCACTCCTACTCAGCTCTTAGGGGAGGTTTGCAGGTAAATCAGTTTTCTCACTTCTTCTTAGCTCCAGGAGAGGTTTGCAGGTAAATCAGTTTCCTCACTCCTACTCAGCACTTGGAGAGGTTTGCAGGTAAATCAGTTTCCTCACTCCTACTCAGCACTTGGAGAGGTTTGCAGGTAAATCAGTTTCCTCACTCCTACTCAGCACTTGGAGAGGTTTGCAGGTAAATCAGTTTCCTCACTTCTTCTCAGCTCCTAGGGGAAGTTTGAGGTGATCAGTTTCCTTTTTCTGAGCATTAACGGTGGAGCAATCTGTTGTTTTTTTCTGGTTAAAAATGAGCATACTTAACCGGGAAACCGTGGAGTGTACAATGTACAGGCTCATGTGTACAGTTTTATACAGACTTACACCAATAATCAAGTGGAAAAAATCGAATTTAAATTGCTATTATTAAATTTTTTATGAATATTTTTAAGAACTTTTTTGGTTTTTTTAATGGTATCTTATGAGGAAAAAAATGTAATAATGGAAATTCTTAAACGAGATGAAATAATCTTGATGTATTCTTTAAAGAAGGCCGCATATTTATACAATTTATACAATTATACGTTAAAAAATAATTCTGGTAAAATTCGACTATTTTAAGTTGGAATAGTTTACATCATGAAAGGTCGCAAATTAGTTTTAAGCTCTTGTTCTGAATATCACAGTTTTTTATTTTTATAATGTTAAAACGTTAAAAACCATTTTATAAGTAAAAATTGGTTCTTAATTTGAAAGTAATGCATTTGGTGTGATTGTTCCCTTAGTTTAGTTTGTCTGTTTACCAATTTCTAATGAATTTGCTTGTTTTTCAAGTTAATACTAGATTTAGATACAGCATGTTGAATGTGCCCTGAGTTTTTTCTAGATGGGAAGAAGGTATTGTAATGGGTTGTCTTAATCTACTGAACAAAATCGTGAAATCATTTAAAGAAGAAATCATTTCCTGGATATTAGATCCTAAATCTTCCATAAAGAAGAGATAAATCAGGTTATCTAGTAAGAATCAGTTCGACATGAACTTATGAAGGTCTTTGTCTTTTATCAATGAAGCAAGATTTACTGGTTTGTTTTCATTGCTATGGAGTATGGAGTGCTAAGACCCCACTAAAAGTTTCTGACACTAGTATTTCAATGATAAGTTTTTATAAACTAACTTTTTTGGTTTTGATTGTGGTTTCACTTCATCATTCGAGCTATGCGAGATATGGTGACTGCTGACTCAGGCTGAGGTACTTTAAAGCTTTATAAAGTGAAAAAACAATTGATTGAAATTGTGAAGACATTGCAAACCTTTCCATTTTTGACAAGCTATGACCGTACTATTATAAATATGCAGAGAATCTCACCAAACTTGGTTTGCAATGAAGAAAAACTAAAAACCAAATTGAATAAAGTAGGCAGTCGGGCAGTATGCCTTGAGACTTGGTAGTTTGATGAAAATGTCCAATGGAAGGTTAATTTTTAGGTACATGGTTTATTATTTTTGGAAAGGTTAGAAAATGCCAATTAAACACATGGGGGTTCCACTCTTCTGTCAGGACTAAGGTTAAGATTTAAATAGAAATTCCTGAATTAAGATATATCAATACTTCAAAAAACGAAAAAGGTAAGTGAGCATGAAAAGGTAAGTGAGCATGTTTTACTAAAGTAAAAAAGGTGAGTTTGCATGTTTTAATATTAACGAAAAAGGTAAGTGAGCATGTTATTTTAAAGTATAAAAAGGTAAGTTTGCATGTTTTAAAATAAAAGGAAAAGGTGAGTTTGCCCTGTGCATGTTGTCAGTACAAAATAATTATGCTAATATCAATATTGATCTATGTTGAAAAGATCAATGTGAGGAGCGTGTAATAATTTCCATTCTTACACGGTCTGAGCGTTAAAGAATGAAAGTTCTGCACCTACAGTGTAAGAATAAGCATTCTTAAACGCAAGGAAGCGAACAATATTAAAATTGTTCCTCCTGAACCGTGTAAAAAATGGGAATTCTTTACACGACAGGTTTACTACTATTCCCTATATGCAGAGAAAATTAAACTTCCTATGATATAACCTTATCTTAATCTGTGATAAAACCCATGATATATTCAATTATATTCTTATGAGAATGTTAATCATATTATAATATGTATTATGATCTTGATTTATCTCTAATAAATCTTACTTACTTACTTACTTACTTACTTACTACTATGGAACCGAACAGATATGATATAATAATCATTATGATTGATTATTTAATTAATTAACGTTCTTTATAGATGCATCGCAAGCACATTAAATAATATATTATGATAATGTTTTTTTTTAAGGCGAGCAGAGCAGCTTTCCCATATGATGTCACGTGACTCAATTCCTTCCTTTGTATCTAATCTAGTCAAAATTCTTTCCAATTGGATTACATGGTTTCCTTATGATTTCCAGGTACAGTACAAGGTGGGAGGGGTGGCTGCTCTCAGGGTTTTGGAGTAAAATATGAAAATATATCCGAAAATTATTGAGATATCTGAGGAAAACTAAGAAAAAACAAATATCTGAACATAGACAGTACAAGAGTGCATTGCAATGCAGTGCAGTGCAGTAAAGTTTGGTTCAGTACAGTACAGTACACTACAGTACAGTACAGTACAGTACAGTACAGTACAGACACAGTACAGTACTGTTCAGTTCAGTTCAGTTCAGTTCAGTTCAGTTCAGTTCAGTTCAGTGCAAAATAGAATTTAGTAAACTTAGAACAAATTTTTAACAACAAAAAACTCTTTCTTAATAAATTTGAACAGCTTTTTTACACTGTCCGCTTAAACAATTTAGTACGAAAATTTAGACTGTATTGTACAAATTGTAAAGTTTCATTCTTAAAGTATCATTATTATAATTCTAGGAGGAATCTATGAGAACCCGTGTACGAAAATTGTCCCAGTTATGTACCTCCCTTGATCCAACTGTACAGACCAGGTAATCAAGGTTTAATTAGAAATGTACCTTGTACACTGTTCCATTGAGACCGTCAGGTTAAAAGTCGTGTCACTCGAATGAAACCTTTTGCAGTAGATACATCCATGTCTAGAGATATCATAACAACAAATTTTAAAATCTGCACTGCGTGTCTGATGGAGTGGGGCTTTTGAAAAAGTTGGGGATTTGACCCAAAAAACATTGGAAATCGTAATTTTCACTGATCCCCATGAATATTCGGCTCTGATAAGTATAGAAAATGTTGTAATTTTTGTGTGATACTTTTTTGTTGGATTGAAAAATTTTATGGGTTCATAAAATTTGGTTTATAAAAGTACAACATTTTATTGAATATTTATCGGAGATGGTCGGATTGATAAATCTAATGCAGAGCTTTGATAAACAATAAAAATTTCTATTAATTATCCTACGTCAATAGTTCGCAAGAGCGGTTTAATTGTTTTAAAAATCCATTATATTCGTTAATTAGGGTTTAGAGGAATTCATTAATGCATCGAAAATTTCTTTGTTCGCCGCTGAGGCAAATGATATTTTAAGTCCATGAATAATAACTCTTATTAGTTAATGTAGCATTATTATAAATTTTCTATTTTGTCGCTTCACTAGAAAAAATTTAGGCGTTCAAATTTTGCTTTTTAAGAAGCGATTATTATTCTTAAACTCAAATATATAAACGATTTTAACGATTATTGGATAAAACCAGACAGACAAAACAAATTTATAATAAATGAAAATATTTTAGTGTGTCTTTACTCTCTAATGTTTCAAACTCGTATAATTGATGAAAGTATTTTTTTCTTCATAGATTGACTCAGTTATTACAATCCTTGTTAAAGCACTTAACTGCAGTGGAAAAACATAAGGTAAGAGTCTTAACATTTTACAATTTATTCTAAGTCTTGAGACAACTTTATTTTTAATTAGGGATTGTCCCAAAATTTTACTCTCTCGTCCTCTAATCCCCTAAGCGATGGACAGTAAAATCCGTAAATGACGTCACCAATCCCAATACTTCCCTATATAAGCAGTGACGTCATTTATGGATTTCACTGCCCATTGTTTAGAAGACGACATTTTCTTTGGAGCGCATTGGAAGTAAGCAACATACCTAACTTTGTACAACGCTGGCGTTAACATTGACCTGTATAGATAATTTTATTAATTTGTGGGCTTCAATGAAAATTGTAGCATACCAAAAAACCAGCTTTTAATAAAAGACTGATGATTGACTGGTTCTTGTTAATAATAAGGGTTGAAAATGGACGACAAAGATTATCAACCTTTGAAATCAGGGTTGAGTCATTATCAGGAACATTTTCCTCATTGTTCAAATACATATTTTCAGTTTTGATAGATTTTATTTGCTTCAGAAATGTGTTAACATTTAATATTCTCATTGCGCAATGCTCATCATCCTATTTATTTTGATGTTGATATGGATTTATAAAAAAAAAGTTGAAATCATTGACAAATAGATTACTCAATATCTATTTAAAAATAAGCTATCTATAATAATGAAAAGTTTTCATAGTTTTGCTTGTAAAAAATTGTCTTTGATTTTTTAACAGCTGTTACGAAAATAAAACAAAAGTGGTATTTTAATTTTAAAATATGTTTTAGCAATATGTGTGCAAAGTTCGGAAAATTCAAACAGACGGAGAGAGAAATGGATTACTTGTAGATCTGTCACAGGTGATATAGATACAGATATAGGTACAGATACAGATACAGATACAGATACAGATACAGATACAGGTACAGATAAAGGTACAGATACAGGTACAGGTACAGGTACAGGTACAGGTACAGGTACAGGTACAGGTACAGGTACAGAACCAGATACAGGTACAGGTACAGAACCAGATACAGAACCAGACACAGAACCAGATACGTAAATAGATACGAAAGCAGATGCAAATGCAAAGCAAGTCAAAGCAAAACTAATCGAATACGTCGAGTCAAGTAAAATCTAAGCAAGGCAAACCAGTATAAAGCCAGTGAATACTGCATAGGTCTCATTTACAGATGGGTTATTTATTTACTTTCTTGAAGTCCAAGTTATATCTTATATATTACTAGCAGAAATGCCCGGCGTTGCCCGTGAAATTTTTAAAACACATCAAAAAAAATTGTACCTATATAACCCCCAGGGAACCTCAAAAAATTTCAGTCAATTCGGGCCAGCCGTTCGGCCAAATTTAGCTAGCAAATATACATTAGGGGTGAAACATTTTTCTGGGATCATTTTCAAGAACCAAAAAAGTATTCTTCTAGGAATTCTAAGACATGTTAACATAAGGTATTTTTCACACAAAAAAAAATAAAAATGGCCGTCGCAAATTGGTTTTAATGTTAAACTAAGGGGGAAAAATCTCTCGTGAAGTGAAAATAAAAAGTTTGAAAATCATATTGAGTTGGGTATCAATCCGTATTGAAACCCTTGCTCGAATCAGATTTAAGAATTGAAAAATGTTGAAAATTGTTGAAGTTATGTAGAAAAAATCTTTTCACTTTACATATTTAACTAAGTACTATATAAATGTGGGTTTTTTGCCCTAACTCGGTCATTTTTCAATTTTTTTTTATATAAATTTGGATTTTCAAGCCATTTACAACACTACCCATATCAATATACTTTTAAAAATTTATATTTTTGCCTGCACTAGTGATTTTTTTTTCACTTTTATTATCATTAAAACCTATTTGCGACGGCCATTTTGAATTCTTGTGAAACATATCTTAAAATTCATAGAAAAATACATTTTTGTTCTTGAAAATGATTCCAGAAAAATGTTTCACCCATAATATACTTAAATCCATATATACAAATATATATGAGCAAAGAAGAGCTTTATTATATAGATCATGTGTTGCATTTTGGCCTGCTTTAGGTAACATACCTACACACATACTTTATATTTATAAATTTTAGGTCTCCTTGAACGCATGCACAGTAGCTGAGCAGTTGACCCATATAGAGCTTCAGTACCTGTCTTTCATCGGACCTGATGAATTCGTCAACGCCTTCGCCAGGGAGGTCATTGGACCAGCTTCCACTGAAGGTCAGAATAGAAATAAAAGTATTGTCTTTGAATTAATGATTCTTATCTTAACCATTTGAATTTCGAAAATGAAAAGTAATTATAATTCTTCAATTGCGGACATCTGACGTTATTGCCAGACTACCAGACAAATTCTAACCATGATATAAATGCATTAATTATTGTGCTCATTGCATGGTTGGACTCTGTCCTACTGGGTTTTGATTGTGGGACCGTTGAAATTGTTATAAGCCAGAGGCAGGTTGAAAATTGTATTATCTGGTTTGTTGTCTTAAACATGCAAATGAGTGTTTATAAAATTCAGGAATAAATAAGTTTTATGATGTTAAATTCAATGTCACGTGTGTAGAACTAAGGATGGGGGGATAGGGTTTGTTTAACTAAACGACGGCTGATATGGTCTGTTCAGAAAATGGTCTATTGAGAATTAGCCACAGTAAATAAACAATGATTTAACACGCCCGGCCTTCGTAACCTCCTCAGGAACGTCCTTTGTTACTGTTACGGTAATAGTAATTCCTAGCAATACTAAATTTAACTGTGAAGTAATTCCTAGCAATACTAAATGTAATTGTGAAGTAATTCCTAGCAATACTAAATGTAATAGTGAAGAAATTCCTAGCAATACTAATTTCTAACAATACTAAATTTAATAGTAAAGTAATTCCTAGCAATACTAAATTTAATAGTGAAGTAATTCCTAGTAATACTAAATTTAATTGTGAAGTAGTTTCTAGCAATACTAAATGTAATAGTGAAGTAATTCATAGCAATACTAAATGTGATTGTGAAGTAATTCCTTGCAATACTAAATGTAATAGTGAAGTAATTCCTAGTAATACTAAATTTAATTGTGAAGTAGTTTCTAGCAATACTAAATGTAGTGAAGTAATTCATAGCAATACTAAATGTGATTGTGAAGTAATTCCTTGCAATACTAAATGTAATAGTGAAGTAATTCATAGCAATACTAAATTTAATTGTGAAGTAGTTCCTAGCAATACTAAATGTAATAGTGAAGTAATTCATAGCAATACTAAATGTGATTTTGAAGTAATTCCTTGCAATACTAAATGTAATAGTGAAGTAATTCCTAGCAATACTAAATGTAATAGTGAAGTAATTCCTAGCAATACTAATTTCTAACAATACTAAATGTAATAGTGAAGTAATTCCTCGCAATACTAAATGTAATAGTGAAGTCGGCAAAACCCCACCATGTTAGGTTTTGCGCACATTATTTTCAAAAAAGAAGTTTTTATAATAAATTTTAAAATTTTTTGAATTTTTACTTTATTAATTTGTTGACATTTTTGTATTTATATTGACTTGGAGACGTTTTGTTAACGATGACAATGTTATATAATTCATTTTCAAATTTTACATTTTTTAGTTAAATGAATGTTCTATTCTATTGTCAATCTACTGCGCTGTACTTTAATTGCTGCGCTTATTAGCTTTTTTGTTTTCCGGTAGTCATAAGCAACAGCCGCTCGTACTCCATGCCACAGCAGTTGAGTCTTCCGGCACTTATTACGTTTAAAATGACAAATTAAGTATATTGAAATTGCTTTTTTCAAAAATTCCTATTTTAAGGTAAACTTGATGTGAGTGTGCATGAGCTCCAACCTGAAGCTGTTGAAGCCCGTCTTCGGGCGGGGAAAAAGACTCCAAATCTTGGTAAGACTCCTGAACCCCCAGTATTTTTAGTTTTTTCTTTTAGCGTACTCTTCTGTTATAGGTTTATGGAATCAAATGAAATGTTGCTTGTGAAATTACATATTTGTTATGTTATGTTTAGATTAATGTAAGTTTGTGAATGTCCAATCAAACTGAATGGAATGGAAACCAAAATATTTCTAGAAAATTTCGTCCAGATTGTGTGACATAAATTTTGTTATTTTATTTCTTATTTGTGCGGGGTTTTTTTACTCAATCCCAGTTAAATTTCTGAATTTCTATTACAATTTTGCCTTGCTTGTCGGGTGTTAAGCTGATAAAGAGAATATTTTTTAATAATACCATCTTTAATACTGTTTTTTAAATTGTTTTATTAATGAAGTGTTGAAGAAGGAAAATTTAACACTCACCCGGACCAAATATAACGCCCGGTCTGGATGTAACGGTACACCGGCCCTCTTGGAACAATATTTGTTTTTTATTAAAAATAACTTAATTACTTTTTAAAGAATTCAATGATATTTATTTTCTCGTGGACCTACTTAATTAAAACTTCTCTTTGTCAAAATATTTTTTCTTTTCTTCGTCAAAAATTTTATTAAAAGGGGGGAGAGGAGAAAAAAATTCATTCTTTCCAATAAGCTAAAAAAAAATAGGTACTTTTTTATTGTCACAGATAATTTTTGTCAATTTTTGCTAAAATCACTATCATCAAGTAAGTGCATAAAGAAGCGTTCAAATATTTATATTTTTAGAGTAAACCTTTGAGAAAAATATTTTTTAAATCAGTTTTATTCTATTTGATGAGATGCCACTAACTTGTTTAAAGGGACTTTAAACGTAATTTCAAGTGACCTTCCATGCAAAGATGGCAGTGTCCGATTCACAACCGTACCCTGTCTGATCAAGCATGAATTATAATATCAATTTTTATAATTTGTAAAACTGTTAAATTTATAATTGTGGTTTCTCTTCAAAAGTGACTTGCGCATATTTACTGCAGGAATTATCTGAATTAAATACTTTCAAACCTCATAGAGGGTCACTTGAAATTAATCTTACAGTCCCTTTAATAGAACCCTGATTCAAAATGTATTGTAAAGAGATAAGTAACTCAACTTGAAGCAGGGCCGTAATTAAGAAGGGATGGGAGTGGGAGGAATTTGGGCGGTTGTATCCTCGCCACTAATTGTTAATTGAAAATAGAGTTTAATTTTGCTTCATCATTCTACGTGAATATTTTCTTATCTCTTTTCTTTTAATCTCTTTTCGAAAACAAATAAGTAAACTTTCGATAACTTAATAACTTAGATAACCAGACTTTTATTATGTCTTAAATATTTCTTTTCATTTGTGTTTTATCTAGATTTTTGTATGTCAAGATTATCTCTTTTCAGAACTCATTTCCTTTTTATCTTTATCTTCAGCTCATCACTAGTTGAGGATTCTCGTTATTGTATTTTTTTTTTTCATTAAAATACTATAAACTTAATCCAACTTCAGTGCCCGGTGTAGCCCGTGGTACATATAAAGTATCTAATGATTAAATAGAGGACGACCTCCTGTGTCAAAATGGCTAATTTTCCAGACAAGCCACCTAGGGACGACAATTGGTCATGATTTCAGTAAATCTAAGTGTTAAAAAAGTAGTCCCCCCCCCCTCCACACAACAAACTAGTATTGTGAACCAACGCGAGACACGTTGTCGGTTAATTTAACGGATTAGATTTTCCTGGGGCGTATACAGGGGAGGGTGCTGTAGGGGTTAAGCCCCGGACCATACTCTGAAAAAGTAAAAACTATGATTTCCAGCCGCCCACAACACCCCCACTGGAATGTCAATTCAAAAATTAATCGCCCCCCCCCCCCCACCGAAAAAATGTATGTAAATTTGCTTTTACAAATTGTTTGGTATTATTTAGAGTCGTATATATCCTGGTTTAACCGGTTATCCCAGTTGACCGGCTCAAGCATATGCTTCCTCAAGAAGAAGAAACATCGAGTTAAAGTCATCGAATTTTGGATTGAGGTGAACATAGGGATTTATTTCTCAAGAATGTGGGGGGGGGGTAGAGGAAGTCAAAATTATTGATTCATATTTTTGGAAAAAAAACTGAGAAAAAGTGTCTTTATTTTTTTTAAAAGTTAAACTTAAATTTCCTACTTAAATCAGATCATAATTATATATTTTTTTACTAACATAATTGAGATTATTATGGATTTTTCTTCATTCATACAATTATAATTTTTATTCTTAGTTTGCAAGCACAAGCATTTTAAATTTCTTTCACCAATCTTAAAAATAAAAATACCAAAATATTTGTTATTCCAGGTTGCGCGTGAGTGTGTAAATATTGGAAACTTTAATTCAATGATGGGAATCATTTCAGGTATCATCATTATTTTAACTATCATTACTTAGCAGGGTTATATATTTTCTTGAAAAATCATTGTTTTTAAAGGTTTTTTTGCTGAATATGAAAAAAAAATATTTAAAAAAGGTGGTGAAATATTAATATTTTAGGCCTGAATCTACAACCTGTTTCAAGGCTACGCAAAACATGGAATAAAATACAGCTAGGTAACATTCTTCTTCATCTTAGCTGTAGAGTGTAAATTCTTTTAATTAACTATTTTCTTCAATATGCTTGCATTGCTCGGCCCATGAAACGGACAAAGTCTATCTTACCTTTGAGCTGGGAACTTTTGTGTTGGAGACCCATAAATCCGATCCACTGATCTCGATATCCCTCGTGAGCACTTTGAATTTTACGCAGAATCCGCATGTCTCAAGATTTTGTATATCCGCTATTTGTTTGTTTTTGTTAAATCCTATCCTTTAAATTATATCCTTTAAATCGTATCCTTTAAATATTAGATTCATCTGTGAATTAACAAAAAAAATCGAGATTTTTCCTAGATCCTCTTCATGCCTGATTTTAAAAATCTTCTCTGCTTCTTTATTTGATATTAAAAAAACTAATACTTAGAGTGTATTAGTTAATAGGACAAAATCCTAAAAGGACAGGATTGGATAAAACATTACATCCCATTCAACACTGCTATAGTCGGCAGCTCCTGGCTTATTATGGCTAACAACAGGCTCATCAAATAAAAGTTAAAAAACTCCATTTCTCCTCTGACAAAAGTTAATCCTCATTTTCTCAAATAACTTTCCTAAAATTATCATACTAGATTTTTTGGTGTCTCAAGCATCATTGGAATATTAGAAAATTTACATTCCTCCCAGAAACTGTGGTACACAGTTTTTCCGGAAATTTCTTTTATATTTCTTGAGTTAGGTTTAGATAGAAAGACAGCAATATTTTGCAAAAGATAGAGGGGTGTCCAGGCGGTATTACCTAGGATTTTACCAATTTTGATACATGTATATTTATATTAGATAAATTTGACGTGTTGGGTCACCAGCTGGATCCTAGCTCTAACTTTGTATCCTACAGAACTACACTGCAGGTCAGCACAGTGTACACTGTACAGTCTGAGGGTCAAACCATTTCATCGAAAATCCTTTTCGCATCAGCAAAATATCATGCAGTCGCAAAGTAGAAGCAACATTTTTAAAAGAAGAACATAAAAAAAAATAAAAACTCATTCAGTAATAAAAATTTTAAAAAACTGCGATCATATAAGGGAAGGTCGTTTTTTAAACTTTTTCAAAACATGCGTCTTGAACCGTTAAATACTATTCATATGTCTGTTTTTCTACATTCATTAATTTGTGTTATTAATTTAGGGCTAAAAAATCGATTTTTTGATACTCTGACAAATATCTTTGCAAGAGGGAGGAGGGATATTTACCAATTTAACGTTTCTAAACTCATTTGTATCAATATTTTAATATCCATCTTAAGTTATTTTGACGAATTAATTTTCTAGTTTGTAATAGTGTATAGAAAAAAAATCTAAATGATTTTAAAAATAATAATAAAAAAATGACACTTTTGAATTTTTAAATTTTATTTTAAAAGTGGCAAAATTTTCCACCCTTACTCTAGCTTACAATAATCAAAATATATATTTTTCAGAAATTAATCGAAATCCAAGTTTTCATACAGTTTGACTCAGAACTTTGGAGACATCGAAAGAATTTATAAAATGTTGTTTTCGAAACCTATACTATTACGATTGCTGCAGATATTTAGTTTTTTAATTGAATAATTATATGGAGCTTATTAAAACTGCTCTCGCATGGCTATTTATTTATTTTTACAATTACTGAAATTTAGCTTTAAAAGTATTAAACCAATTGGAAAATTGATAAGACGAAATTTTATAAATTCTTTTGTTGTCTCCAAGTTCTGGGCTAAACTGTAATTTAAGCAATATTTTACTTATAATTTAAAAAGCAAAAAAATATCCTCCTTCGCTTTCTTAGTTGTGCCCCTGCCAGGGCCGCTAAAGGGGAGGGGGATTTCTCCCACGTTGAAAAAATGTGGGGTGCAATTAGATAGCTCTTTAATTTTGATCTTTTAGAAGATAAAAAAATCACATTTTTTCCCTCCCACTCCCATCCCATCAGCCATGTCAAGGTTTTGACATGTCCACTGTCCAGGTTTCAAAATCAATTATTGTGTGCCTACAAGACTAATTTAAATCTTTTTTAACCTTTCAAAAATTAAATACTTGTTTAGGCAGCAGTGAATAGATCAGAGAAAGCTACAGACAAAAAACAACGAGTTGTGATACCTTTTTTTAGGTAAGATATTTTAAAAGAAATACAAAAATATTTTTGATTTTAAAATTTCTGTTTAGCCTACTGTTAAAAGACCTGTACTTTGTGAATGAGGGATGTGCTTCAAAACTACCTGATGGACATATAAACATGGAAAAGGTAAGCAAGAAATTAATTGAATGTAAATTTTGCAAACCATGATAAAAATAAAGGAAATAAACGCTTTTTTAGTCTTAAATTATTATCCTAATTCTACTTCTTATATCTGTGAAACCTGATATGTAGATCTTTGATATTTAAAACTATTCAAAGTTTGATTTATCAAAGGTTTTTATCATCGGGTTGTAAAGATATAGGGATTTTAAAAAATAGAGTTTGTGGCTTCTTTGCAAAGCTAAAGGAAAAATTGAACTTGTCAATATTTTTAAATATTTAGTCTTTAGCCCTATAAAGGTTTTTATAAAAGGTGTAAATTTCCGCCACAGCTTTTTTAGCTTTCTCATTTGTCTAAAATGTCACGTGTTTGAATAGGCGAGAACCCTGGCGGAACACGTGTCCCAATTCATGAAGTGGAAAGACATGGAATCTCCTTATGACAAGAATACCCGTATATTGGACTATCTAGAGCGCAGCGCAACTTATTCGAAGGAATGCCGCAATTTTTACCGAATTTTCTTAACCTTTTCAATTTTTCTTTTGATCGTTTATTTGTTTATTCGTTTATTCGTTTATTTGTTTATTCGTTTATTCGTTTATTCGTTTATTTATTCACCTAATCACGTATTCATGTTTTCGTGTTTTCATATTTTCATGTATTCATGTATTCAATTATTCTTTTTTTTAAATTATTTATTTTAAGGTCACCTATGACTAAATTATTTGGTAAAAATATGCTGGCTTGTCTCCAGGACGGGTTAGAGTTCCAGAGTTATCTCCTGGAGCCACCGGAGAGTACACAAGAAAAAGAAATTTACAAATCTTTGAAACCTAACTTCAAGAAATCCCTGAAATGAGTATAGACATATATATATACATATATGAACAATACAATACTGTTAAACATTCGGTGAATTTATGTTGCTAAAGAGCTTAGATTAGTACAAGATTTTAATGAATCTCTAATGTTATATTTTTACTTGTTATCTCTCCGACCACAAGCCAAACAGTGATCAGTGTTGATTATTTAAACTAATCAGAAACAATATTATTTTAATCAATTTAAACAATAGAAGCAAAAATTGTGATGACTGAGAACATATTTCATCACATCCTGAGCAGGGAGATGGTAGATGAGTTGAACCTGGGGGAGGAGAAGATGATTCTTCAGATGTTTACACATCTTTGCAACAATATTGATATCAGGGATTCCATTGGTATTGAATCTGTTCTTAAAGTTATCCTGGACAGAGTGGCATTTTTCCCTGTCCGGCCTGCTGACATGAAGGTAGTGATCTTAGTACTTCAAGGGATTGTAAGCGTAATTTCTAGTGATCCTTCAAGAAAAAAATGTCATTGCTAGATTTACAACAATTCCCTTGAAACCTTAATCTGTTGTCCTTGGTTCTCCGTCTGAAAACTGATTGTTGGTTTATTGGGGTTACTTTATAAATTTAACTTTCGGATTCATACTTTAGAGACAACAAAAAACTGACAGAAATTATCTATCTAATTGATTCTCGTCTAAATAACTGAAGGTTTTCATCTAGGATCAATTTAAGTGAACATTGTACATTGTACAACTATTACACCCAGACCTTTTTACTCCAAAACGGAGTCAAGTGTGCAGATGGAGAAAGGAGAAAAAAGATGAACATGTAAAATTATTAACTAAGTCTCGTACCAATTTATATTGTAAAAAAATATCTACCACAACACGAAAATTTGCCACAAAAAGGAAGCACTGCACCCGCCATTATATTTCTGAATGAAACCCTGTACAAGGGTAACACTGATTTGGAATCCGTCGACAGCCCTGTTGGTACAATTTGGCAAATATTGACTAATTACACAATTATCCTTAAACCCAATAATTCTTTGAACTCTAAATCAAGTAAAGTTTGTGTTACTCATAGATATCTAAATATTTTTTCTGACTAAACTTTAAATGATCTTTAGAAGATATTGTATAATGTATATTTTTTATTAAGACTGAACTTGAAAGAGCTGGACTTGAAGAATCTTTGAGTAGAAAACTATCTGAAGTCTGGTCCCAGCATGCCAGACAGGTTGTCAGTTGGAGGAAAAGGGTTGGCTCTGATATTAAAGGTAACAATTGGTTAGCGTTAGCGCGTTAGCGCATAAGAGCGTGAGCGTTAGCGCTTCAGTATATTACTTTTCTTACTTTTTCTTAGATTTTCTAATTTAATCTTTTTTAGGTGTGAATTTCCTTGTCTTAAAGGATGTAGTATCTGATGAGGAAAGAATACAACTCCAGTTGAACCTGTCAACCCCTGGATCCAGGATCTTGAACCTATCCTTCTCCACAGAGACCATGTTCCAGCTCTACAATACCCTGGAGACGGTTCAACAGAAACTAGATCAGCTCTGCTCTTAATTTCTCAATTCAAACAAAATTACCATATAATGAACAGTTCAATTTATATATCCAAATGTACCAGAAATTGTTTTACCATGATGACATAAAGAAATGTTGAATATTAAATATTTTATCAAGCCAGTTTTATAACAATACATCCTGATCAGTGCACTTCCATATGTTTTTATCAGTAGTTATTAAGTTATAAACTTTATATGTTTGTTTATTTTTTTCTAAATCATTCGGGATCATGTTTTCAAATATTTCTTATTAATATTTTTTAATGATTTATGAGGCACTGTTTGTGAAGTTTCTCAATTTAAAAGGCTTTAACGCTTTCGGAAACCCCGTCAATAAACACTAACACTAAAAAATTTATACTTTGTGTATATTCCTTTAATTTAGTGTTGACCACCATATTTTAACCTTTTTACACATTACGAGGCCGGGTTTCTGAGGCTTGATGTTTTTAATCCTGTCCAAGTGTTTTGTAAGATATTTTTATCACTTGTGTGAATTATATTCAGAGTACTTAAATCTTTCTTTACTCGATTTGTGAAATAGAATGTATACTGCCATTTGATCTTACTGATCAAAAATTTGTTTCCGCTATTGATCAGTTGATCAGACCAAATTGATTGATTTCTATTCTGAAAGACATACTTTGTTAACATATTTATTAGATTAGATTCTGTTATTTATTCAACATCAATGCAACACTGCAGATCTTCTTTTTTCTTCTCAATTTAATATGTTTTTAATTTTCAATATTACTTTTTGTTATAATTAAATTACAGGAAAATTTACTGATTTGCAGGAAAATGGTCGGAAGATCAATTGTAATAAAGGAGACTGAGAAAGATGTTGTTTCTGAACTCTGCAGGATCATTGAACAATGTGCTAAGGTATGCTTAACCATCTAGGGGGGGGTGGGGTGTATTTCTAAACTCGGCAGGATCATTGAACAATGTGCTAAGGTATGCTTAACCTTCTAGGGGGGGGTGGGGTGTATTTCTAAACTCGGCAGGATCATTGAACAATGTGCTAAGGTATGCTTAACCTTCTAGGGGGGGGTGGGGTGTATTTCTAAACTCGGCAGGATCATTGAACAATGTGCTAAGGTATGCTTAACCTTCTAGGGGGGGGTGGGGTGTATTTCTAAACTCGGCAGGATCATTGAACAATGTGCTAAGGTATGCTTAACCTTCTAGGGGGGGGTGGGGTGTATTTCTAAACTCGGCAGGATCATTGAACAATGTGCTAAGGTATGCTTAACCTTCTACGGGGGGTGGGGTGTATTTCTAAACTCGGCAGGATCATTGAACAATGTGCGAAGGTATGCTTAA